ATACTAGAACAAACATATTTCTAGAGTACTTTTTTGAATGTATGCATGTTTTTTGTATAGTGCTGGGGATATGATATAGAAACATTAACCATTTTATAGAAAGACTTGATTTCTCAAAGTCATTATGGACACCAAAGTAGCTTTGATGGTATTGTCACTGGTTTAACTCGCTGAGAATATTTGGCTTCTATCTACCCGGTAACTATCTTATATCCTGTAAAACTTCATGAAAAAACACATACAGAGATTTACCAGTATGTCTTAATTTATGTTCTAAACACATTTATAATCTTGTTATAATCTTGTGGCTTGTTACTTGGGTTCAGACAAATTATTTTTCTTGTCTTTTCTTCCTATTAAAAGATATTTAAATTCTTAATTATAGGATTCAATTAATCCAAATGAATCTACTGACATGTCAGTAGATCAAAACAAATCTTATCCATCAAGAAAAAAACTCATCAAATCGCAAAAACAAAAATAAAGGATTCATGTATAAAACTGGAGGCAAAATCTTCCCTGAGAGGATAGGACTTGCGACTGAGTGATACAACTCCAGCCCTTTTGTTCGTGGCTGACAGCTCACATCCAAATAATCTAGTGATATGTAATGCTAAATGAACCAAGTAAACATGCTTTTAAACAAGAGGACAACATTATAGACCCTTTTGCTCTTTCATCAAACCTGTAGGTTGCTATCTCAGTGAAACCCCACACACCCCACCCCCATATCACCTCTACTCCACGGACCCATGCTGTTCAGGGCCTCAGACCCTCAGAACAGAGCCAACTAATGGAAAGCTTTCAAGGCAGTCTCAGAAAAATGACAGCTTTCAATTTGCCCCCACCGTCTTCTAAAAACTAATAGCTGAAACTATGACTCCACACACACATGCTAACACCCTGGGACATGTCATTGTAAGCAGGTGTGGAAACTGAAAACAACAACACTGTCCACACTTGCCACACACGAGTGGCGATCATACACAAATGCACCTACATTGGCCTCTGCATTTGTCTCATCATGCTAGGTCCAGGTTTGCAATGCTATGATATTGGTAGATCATTATGATATCACTATGATTTTAGAACAATGTGATGTAGTTTTTTGTAGCCCTGTGATGCCTCTACTGCATCTCTAAAGACCATACAAAAAGGGCTATGTGTGTTTGACCACCTTAATTTTCAAGTAAAGATCAAGTACTTACTGGTATTCAAATTTTTAATTCAAATTGTTCTAGATTTGTCAATAACTGGTTAAAAATAAAAAATATACCATCTGGTTACCAACTGGTTTTAAAGGCTCCAGCTTAAAGACCTCAACATACCAGGGTCAGCAGTGGGAGGAATCATTGTAGTAGACTTTAAGAACTTTTCTTGTGGAACACTCAGTCCAACAAAGTAGGAACTTTAAACTTGCACCCATAAAAGAGTAGGCTTATTAACCCAAAGAGGTTTACTCATCTCACATGTGCTCAGCCTGTCAGTTGCATTACTGTTGTCTCTTGTTATTATTTTTCTCTCATCCTGATGCTTTTTCTTTGCGGCATCATTAATAATTTGTGTCTACGCCTTGTTGCTTGATGACAGCTGTTCAGTTGGTTTGCAGCCTGTTTTTCAGATCAGGTGAATAATGAATAAGCCTGTGCAACAAAAGAGTTGTGTCCTATATGAACCCACGTTCTCTTTCTCTGTCCTCGCTCAGTTGGCATGTCAACAACTGGAGAGGAAGAGGCAGGTGATGCAGAAATTTCCGAAAGTGAAAAAATATATAAACTGTTTTTCTCTTTAAGTGTTGGTACACTGCTTGTTTGTCTAAAGCTTCAAGACAGAAACCCTGCTTCTCTGTCACGTTATCTTATTTCGCAACTCACCAAACCTGTGTGAAATCTGCTGAACAGAGAGCAAATACCACTTTATTGTTGCAATATACACAACAGGCCAGTTCTGCCCTCAGGGGACTGATAACATTTTCAAAACAATCACATTTTCATTTGTGTTGCTCCACTACGGTGGAACGACCTACCAATCACTACAAGAACTGGGATGTCCCTGTTTATCTTCGAGAAAAGCTTAAAGACCCAGCTCTTCAGAAAGCATCTGCTTACCCTGTATACTTCCCCACCCCCTCTACTGCACTTTCTCTTTCTTCCTTCTTTCTCTACATTGTCAAGACTGTCATCACTAACAGAGTCAGATTTCCTTTTAGCTTATCGTTTGCTTTGATATCAACTGTAATGTTGTATCTGCATTAAAGTCCCTTTGTTAAACACATAAACAAAAGCACATAAACAGACAGTTGTCAGCTGTGTCAGATACTTACTTATTATATCCATGAGGATAAAACATTTTTTGTATGATCCATCCATCCATCCATCCATTTTCTATACTGTTTATTTCCAACAAGGTCACAAAGGGGGGGGGTTAAAAAAATCTCAAACACCAAAGTGGATCTCTTGAACCTTTCTTTTATTATTAATGTTTAATTTCAGATTAATAATAGATCATTCAAAACCACTGAAACACAGTCCTTGAACTTTTTAATTTCACAACTATGTCAGGAAAAGTTAATCTATTCATACCCCTGCACAAACAATGTATGCATGACTATGTGCACAAACGAAGTGTTGCGCCTAATTCTCAACTGTGTGCAATGACAGGCTGACATACAAGCCTAGAATTGAGTCTCGGACTGCAATGTTCTGATTACTCACCCCCTGAAATCGATTGAGCCAAATTCTTTTTATATTTGATATGCCTTGGGGCAGTGGGGTAATGGTTTTGAAAAAACATCTACTGTGTCCTTGGAGGAATCTGGTCAGTTAAATAACTATTTTTTTTCTCTGAGAAGTTTCTCGGATAAAAAAAGAAGACAGAATTCCGTTTGAAAATTTGCTGTTTTATAAAATGCTCCATCTCATTACCTGCTCTGCTTTAGAATAGGTGGTCCCACCTCGAAATTGTCAGGCCTTTAAGTAATAAAAGCATTTAATGGTAGACTCATCTTCATTGTCATTTGATACATTTTTTCTTTGACCAGACTCAACATTTCTAAGAAAGAGCTCTGATTTTTTCTCAGCTATTTCCTCTATGAGTTTTTATTCAAGAATGTTGTTTTTTTTTTCTTAGGGTAAAAATCCTTTAGGGGTGGGAATCCCTTTGTGCCATAACAGCTGAGATAATTCCTATTGTAAATTAACCTTTTCATTCGTGGATTATGATAATTTCAGTCACGATAATTTTCCAAAGTGTTTTTGATTTTCTTAAGCCATAAAAAAGATGAATGTTTATATTGGCAAAAAGCGTGTTTATCTAAAGATGTTCCTGATTTCCACTCAAGTGGATGTTTTAAGATTTCTTACTAATGAAATACTGTATGTCATATTGTGAACACATTTTGAATGTATGCATGTATGCATGCATGAACTTTGCCTAGAACTCTCATCCCATTCGGATATTCATTACTATCCGATTGGTTTCTTACTCCCACTCATTCAACCCCTTGATTTTTTTTGTCTATCCCATATCTCTTTAACAGTAAATTATTATAATTGTTTTTTAATTTTGTAATTGCACGATGCACCAGTGTCCACTTCAATGGCTTTTAAATAGCAGTCCACTCTAATGACCCCTATGCATGAAAGAGTTAAGATGTTTTTTTTCCTGTTCTCCTTTGGTCTCCTCGTCTTAAGGTTTAAAATATTCAGTATTTTCGCAGGCCTCTCTGTTGTACGATTTGGTGGGAGGCGAAGCATAAAAAGAAAAAAAATCCCTGTGAGTCAGTGATTTCAATCAATGTTGAGAGGGAGGAACTTGCAATTGTTCTTGTTGGTTTTTGGCCTCTGGAAAAGGTAAGGAAGCCAATAGGAACCCACGTGTAGTGGCCAGTAGGCAGATGTGGGATCTCACCTAACCAGTTCCATTAAAGTTTGCTTACAGGTAAAAACCATAGAGGCACGCATTTATTTGTTTTGAAGTTACGATTTATTTCTTGATGTATATTCATAACGATGTATTGTTTAACCGACTAAACCGTCGAGAGTGGAATATTTATCACACAGGATAACAGCTGCCTTTTCTGCCCAAACTATCCTTGGCAGAAACTTCCCTAACACACCCCAAACAGACCAAGAATAATACACACAAAAGCACAGCAATAAGGGTAGGTGGTATCTGGTTGACAGTTAGATATGTTCAGATTGTTTTAGGTCCAAACATGAGACTGCATAGGTCAAAACAAACAACAGCCTGCGGGCATTCCCAATCACAGTGAAACGTTCTTGCTGCAGATTTTTTTCACCATCCACAAACACTACATCCCACTTATCATCATTATTACTATAACGTCATAAATTCGGGAAAGAGTTGCTGTAATATATACATTTTGTATCAAATAACGGAAAGGAGACGTTTTACATGTTTTATTCAAAGCAAAAAAATTCAACCAGAAATGTAAGTCCATTTGAAATACAGACATTATTTTTCTGTAGATGGCAATAACAAAAGAAAAAAAAATAGTGCAAAAAGGGCGAAGGGTAGAAAAAACTGCGCGGGTCGTTTGTTCAAGTGAGGATTATTTTGCCAGCTGAAAATAAAACACCTACTGTGGTCAAACGCAGATTTTTATCGGCTGGGTTTTATTTTTTTTGTCCGTGGTACAGTTATATTAAACATCATGTTTATCATGATATATTTGGCTTTTCCTCCCCACAGCTTTTCTCTGGTTTTAGGGCCTGTTCAACAACACGCAAAAGGATGAGGTCGTTAGTGTTGCTTTATCCTCCCCTTAGAGGCGTCGTTTTAGCCTTGTCTGTATTTGTTACAGAAAATATTGTTATTAGATATGCTATATTTTCTATAGACTTGTTAAAACGTAGGATTGATAACAGTATATCACATCAAAACGTCTTAGTGACAGGTTTCCTCCCTTTGTTTCCAGGATAAAAATATACATAAGTCAAATATTAACTATGCAGTGATTGTATTTTTTTTTTCCGGTCTCATTTCAGTCCATGCTGCGTTTCTTTATGTCTTCTCAGGTCCACTTTTCTTTGGAAACCTTTGCCGCACAGGTCGCAACCGAAAGGTTTGTATCCCGTGTGCTTCCGGCTGTGAGTGATGAGGTTGGAGCTCTGGCTGAACGCTTTCCCACATACCTGACATTTGTGCGGCTTCTCTCCTAAAAACAAAGCATTTAACTTCAGTATATTTGTTTTAAACTTACATGAGATGAACTGCATCTTCCATCTAAATGAGATCAGTATCTTCTTTTTTCTTTTGTACTTAACCCCCGCCCTTTTTTCGTTCTCCGTTCCTCTGTTATTTTCTGTTTTTTCTGACCCTTCTCTCCTCACCTGTGTGGATGAAGGTATGTTTTTTCATGTCTGACTTCTGATGGAACCTTTTCCCGCAGAACTGGCAAGGGTACGGCCGCGTGTCGGAGTGAATTAGGAGGTGAGTGGACAGCGTGGACGAACGCTTGAAACTTTTACCGCATATTTTGCAGTCAAAACTCCTCTCCTATGAAAAAAAGAGCCAGCGTTAATTGAATAATAATTTCTTAATTTCTTACCCGAATCGGTAGAAAAATTCAATTTGGTATGGTTGCAAAGTTACCTGGGAGTGCACAGCTTTGTGTTGATCCAAGCTTACTGCGTGTCCGAAGGTTTTTCCGCATATTTCGCACGCAAAAGGCCTGGTACCGCTGTGCGATCTGCGGACGTGGACCTCCAGACCATGCGGAGTGGAAAAGACCTGATAAATGAACAAGGACAGCTCGGAGTTCGTTTCCAAGAGTTGGAAAACACACACGATTCAGTTACATGGCTAAATCAAATTACTTTATAATCACATCTCATAGAGAGGTCAGGGGTCAGCCAAAAAGTTCAGATTGGATGTTTACTGGGTCCACAAAATCAATTAAAGTTTCACTTGGAAATCGGATTATCTCAAATCATGAAGTCCTACATCAAGTTTGGTGCTGCATCATATTATTTTATTTTTACTCTACAAAGTTTCCCTTGCAATTTCCTCACCTTACTGCACTTGACACATTTGTAAGCTCCGTTCAGCAGACCAGGGCAGATCAGGTCAGACTGGGCCTTCCCATCATGAGGTTTTCCATGCAGGCCAGTCTCAGGAAACAGTAGAGGAGCAGAGTTCCTCCTATAGCCACCATAACTTTCCTCTCCCAGAGCCTGGTCTGTAAACAGAGCTGGATAGGTGCTCCTGTCTCCATATAGGGCCATGGACGCCGGGCATCTGTCCAGGTTCGGGGTAAGGGTCTGCTGGACAAGCGGCCTTATCCTTGGCCCTGGGTAGCTGCTCCAGGCATATGGTCGGAAGGGAATAGTAAAGGGCTGGGTCTCTTCCACCAAAGGAGAGATGGATTTCTCCGAGTCAACTAGAGGGTAACAGATGAAATTTTAATGAAACCAGTCACACAGCTGAATGGGTGCATTTCTATGGCCATGGAGAGCTAATACGGGGTGGAACCGGGTGTCATAAAATGCTCTTCTAGAGAGTCCCAAGATCAATATTTTTATGGAAACTAGAAATATCAGTTAGAAATAACAATGCACCTATTATAATCAGTAATTAAATGTGTTCTAACAATAAGAAATCATAAGTGAGTACACCACACATTGGACAGTCTGATTTTAAAGATGGTATCTAATAGTTGTATCAAATTTCAACGGTGTGGACAAAAAAAAAAACCCACTCCGTCTAAATTCCCCTAAGCACAGTATCTAAAATCTGTAGGCTATATCTAACTTAATGTCGTTGTGTTAAAGAATCAGCCTCACCGTCGCTGTAAACCTGTGTGTTGTTTCCTCTGAGGCCTCAAAGGGCTGCATAAAAACGCAAAGCGCGACCGGAGAAGACCCTGTGTGTCTGTGTGTCCGTACCCGGAGACGAAGAGGGGGAAGGAGGCCTCCAAAAGCTGTCATAGTTCGGGGAGCAACCGTACAAACTGTCGGCGTAGCTGAGCGGAGATGTCGGAGAGAAGTCGGCCGTGTCGCTCGGAGGGGAGTCCGGCGAGAGGCCGAACCCGTCCCCCAACCCGCCGCTCTCCTCCTCTGCGCGCTTATCCTCCTCTGAGGAGACCAACGGAGGACAGTCAGAATGTTTTAGAAATTATTTTTATAGCTCGCTTTAAAGATTTAAAGATCATCAGTTAGTTTAATTCAAAAGCCCAAATTAGATGTGTAATATTTTGGCAGGCTATGCGCATTTTAGAGGGATTAATCCAGCTTTGACGCACAAAAAGGATTGATGTATTTTGTGTTTTGGTGAAACAACGGGAGAAAAAAACTAACTTTACCTCCATCTCTATTAAAATATTATTTTATTCAATGCCACATTTAGTCCAGGCTATTTAATCATCACAGTTCTGCTTTTTAAAGAAACGTGTTTTCAGGCATTTAGGAAACTGCTCCGGTTTTAAAATGTAACAACCCATATTCTGTAACGATGTTTCACTTTTTGATTCAGAATTTGTTCTTGGATATAAGGCGTCAAGGCTGTAAACTGCAATTATTGTAATCAAAATATAGGTTATGGTGTTTAGAAAAGGACGAATTTTGCATGTGAAATAGTGGAAACATTGCGTAAAAGGCATCATTTTACGTACCTGAGCATATGTGGGCCAGGATCGTGTCCAGCTTGCTGCAATCATCCTCAAAACTTCGGGGTTGGTGGTAGCTGTGCGCCTTCTTACTCTTTACCAAGAAAGAGCGGGGCATCTTTGAAAGCGTGAAACGAAAAATGACTGGTTTCAAATCAGCTGCTGGGAGAAAAGAGTCACGGTCCTGCGCGCGGCCACGGTCTCTCAAAGATTCGGTCCGAACTACTGTGGAGATTTCGCTCCCATGTGTTTTAACAGATTACAACCTGTCAACAGAGCATGCGCGCACTATCCGTCCCGTTTGCCAGGTGTCTCTCGGACAGGTGTCGCGCAGCGCGCCCCCCCACCCCTCCCTCCCACCCCTTTCAGCACACTGGGATGTGTAGAACACCAGTTTTCAGTTCAGCATGTTAAATGGAGATGAGTTTTCTTTTCAGTGGGGGCGACTTCTTGTCACGTCTCTTTATCACAAATCCACTCATCTCAGTATAACGTGACGAAGGGGTGTACCTCCGTTACCTTCTGTTACGAGAAACGAATCGCAGACACCAGCAACTGAGGACTGTCTTTTCCAATCCCACCTCTAGAGTCGCGCCCCCCTCCCTCATCGGATCGAGCTCGTGTCTCCCCAGAGGAGCCCTTCGAAATCTGGAGAAGTGATACACGGGCTTTCTTGGCGCCTTTCAATCTTTGATTGCAGGCGGGAGAGGAAATACTAGGGCGCACCCCGGGGTGTCTTGCTTAATGTCTGAAGTAGTACGTAGTGGTAAAATAAAGGGGTGGGGGAAAATATGAACCACCTCGGTCCTTTTTTGCACAGTTTCAGCAACACGAAGAGTAACCTATCACAAGATGCTGCAGGATTGGATAACTTTCAATAGCAGATATCCAAAAAGCGCACCGGAGTTGCCTTAGATGAAAGCTCCACGCGGGCGTGTTTTGGAGCTCTGTCACGGTCGCTGTTTTCATTTATTGTTAGAATGAAGCAGAGGACTTCCTGTCCTCTCGCCTGGGGCTGCAGTTTCACAGTTCCTGCGCTAAAAAATGTTGTTCCTGTTCACCCAGGCCGAGCATCAGAGCCGGTTGAGCGTCATGACGCGCCGAATCACGACCTTCTCGTTTTTATTCGCAGCTCAAATGTCCCTGACTGAAGTGATACTGTCGATGTAAAAGTATTTTCCATAAATATGGTAGATGCTCGCCCCAAAAAATACAAAATGAAATCAGAAATTAGCCTTGACCAATAATTTAAGGTGACACAAAAGGAGTTTAACATTTCTAAACTAATTTTATCATTAAGCAGGCCATAGTATGCCTTCAGTATATTACACCAAATATATCAATTAAGAAATTAAAATAAGTCAGAGAAAAATACAATCAAGTCGGTAGGCAAATGAAGTAAGTAAGTAGGTAAGACTGTTATCAACAGTCAGGAAATCAAAGGGCCACGTGTGCCGGCTGGATTAGAGCCGCAGTGGTCAAAGCATCCGGACACTGTTTCGGGGAAGATACGAGGCTCAAACTGATAAAAACAAACTGAGTAGTTGGCCCAGAGAAGACTCCTGTGCGGCCAAAAACCCGACAACCACAGAATTCAGCCAGATTCAAAAGAAAAAAACAGACAGACCAAAGACTCACACATCAGTGGTTTAAGCAGAGTTACTTTTGAGGTATCACTTTTATACTAGACCATCTGAAAGTACAAATGACTGGCTGTGTGACACCTTGTTATTTTAGTTTCATATTAAAACAATTAGTTAATATCTGCCTTTTTTGTTTTGCGGGTGAAGCTCATCAGCAAGACACCACCTTATTTGAAAGATGAACAGATTTTCCTCCCTCATTCTGCTCGAATAGGTTACATCCATGAACATATTAATTATTTCAGAAATTGTCACTCTGATGCGGCTTATTCTATTTCAGATACTTTCCGATTCGTTCAATAATCAAATTGTTTAAAGTTTAGGAAAACAATCCAAATGACTTTCATATGAGGCTGCTTTAAACGACTCAGTTTCCTTAGTTTTAATTCTGACATAGCAAAATAGCAGAAATTGTTCTGGATTATTTCCACGCATTTTCTAAATAAGTAAAACTACGTCCTCAGAACGTTGACCAACGTTGACCACCACGTTAGACGTTGGCCAATGGCTCCCTACATCCAAAATAAAGCCCCCATCCGCATTCCGTGATAATACAAACCTGGATAATCTTTTGGTGCCGCAGAATCGCTCCGAAAATGTGGTTTTCTGCTTGAAATGATTAGTAAACGAGGCTCTGAAAACCGCGAGAAATCACTTCCTGAAAGCTGTCAATCTTAGCGAGAATCTTCAGAGGAAGGTAGCGCTTAGATTAAACAACCCACATGCATTTCAGAAATACTGAGCTCAGAAGGAAAACATTCTCAGACTTAAAGTTGATCAAACCTTTTATTGAGAACTCTTCACACACACACACACACACTCACACACGCATATATATATATACTGTATATATATATATATATATATATTCATACAACAATCTCATGTAGTCTTTAGAGTGTGCTGACCACTCCATAGTGTTAGATGTCTATACTGCAGACTTTAAGTGACATTATGAGTCCCTCTCTCATTAAACTTAAAACGTGTCATCATTTCCAAGATGTCATCAGTTTCAGCATCTCAAAGTCACAATCCTGTCCATTTCCTTTACTCACAGTCACATTCAAGATTTCTTTTTTTTTCAAATCCAGGTCTGCTTAACTGGAGCTTCTGCATGAGCACAATTCAGGTTTGTAGTTCTTCCTTTGGTATCTGTTTGCAAACTTCTGATGCATCCTCAGACTGTGCACTTTGCCAGGTCATCTCAGTTTTAACTCAGTTCAAGTTCCCTCAGACTGTCATCCGTTAGCGTACAAACATGTTTTGAATCAATGTGCCCATCACAATATCATTCATGCTTGAATTTCCAGCAAATATGATGAAATTACTCTTTTTTTTGCATCATGAGAGCTCAGTACAAATGTGGCAGGAGATATTCCAAACCATCTCTTTTTGCACAAGCCAAAGGACTAAGAATGTTTTTTTTTTAATTAATAACTTATTTAATTCTTTTGTCAAATTCCAAATATGTCATCATCAGATATGCAGCGATGCGTATTTTTAAATTTGAAGGGGGTTAGGAGATTAGAAAAACACATAGCTCTAAGTATGCAGATGACATGCTGACCTTGTGGTATGGCATATGCTAAATTCCAAAATTGTTGCTGGTTGGTACAAAGAGCTTTAACACCAGGTTGCGACCAAGCTAGTCTGGACCGTACGCATATGCACACACACTCATCCACACATTCGATTCTGTCTCTGCATGATGGACACTTACTAGTCATGGCATTGATACACTTCTAACATTAATTTATAAAATCTTCTAAAAATGTGAATAAAAAAAAAAAAAGATGAAGTGTGTAATATAGCATAAAATCTTTTATTGCACAGTCTCTTTTTCTCCTTTGTACCTACGGGAGATACCGGGAATGACAGACAGACCCCCACCCCCCCATCCCCTGGTGATTTTGATAGACTCGACGATGTTTTATTCTGCTGAGCTCCAGACTGACCTCGTCTTTTGTCAGACAATGCAGGACAAAAAAACAACAACAACAAACAAACAAAAAAACAAAACATCTAAATCTGTAAGCATGATCTGCATAATATGAAATGATAATGCTTTTCCTTTTTTGAAATTGGGAACTTCTGATCCAGACCTCTTCGGCAAAATGGCTGCAAGAAGTTTCATGTGTAGGTGCTGAAAACTTCTGAGCTCCGACTGTCAGCGGGCACTGGTCACACGGTGGTGGATTTTTGGCTGCTGGCCTGAGGTACAGAGATTCGCAGGGCCTCCCCGTCCTCCTCTTCCTCACTGTCAGTGTCCCTGAGTTTGGGGTGCAGTTTGATACGTCTCCTGTTCCTCTCCTGGGGGTCCTGAAGGTTGGGGTCCTTGACTATATCATCATCCGAGGACTGGTAAGACTCATCCATGCCCACATAGTGATTGACAATATGGATCCCGTCAAAAGTGGACTGAGCGTTCAATCCTCTCTGTCCTTTTAAGCAGCAAACCTGTGGAAGTCAATATGATGAATATTAACTCCCTAATAATGACAGCATTCTCAAATTTTTTAATAATTGTTGATAGCTGCAACTTTACTGTAAGATTTTTGTCATTAATGAAAGAAGTGGAAATAAATAATGGCAGTCATGTAACATGATCAGATGGTTTTGATTCTAAAAACTGAGTGTGTGAGTGTTATGTATATTAAATTAGGAGCATGTGTTTGGTGGAATCAGGGTTCGATTACTCCCTCCTGTGATATCTTTAAAACTCTTCTCTTCTTGTACCCACACACTTGGATTTTTCTGTCCAAAACAGTTAAGACTTTGTAGAAATTAGATTTGAATTAACTATGCTTTGCTCTCACAGCCTTTAGATTAATACTCACATAAAAGCAATCCAAATACAGTTCTTTTCAGTCTAATTCCAAGGACATTTAGTCAAAGGGTTTTCCATGTATTTTTTAAATAAAGTTTCAAAGACTTCTCAAGATTTAAGTTTTTTTTTTAACTCTAAAGACCTACTGCTAAAAACATAATATTGCTGCCCTTGTCATCTTGACAGTGTGAAGGGTTGTTGTCATGGTTTTAGGTTTAAGCCACATATGTTTTACATGTCCGACACGTGCAAAAAAGTCCGTTTTATTCTTTTCTGACCCAACATTGTGATGGGGAGTAGACAATTCAATTCAATTTTATTTATATAGCGCCAAATCACAACAACAGTTATCTCACAGTGCTTTACAAACAGAGCAGGTTACACCCTACTCTGAAGTTATTTACACAAGCCCAACAGTGCCAATTCCCAATACAGTGCCAAGTGATAAGCTCAAATATTCTCTTTTGTTTTCTTTTTGAAGCAATGGCATAATTCCCTTCAGGAAGATCAGATTGTGTACAACAGGCTTTTGAGAAAAGTTTTTACCATTAAATGATTCAAAAGGTCTCAGATGCAAAACATTTCAGAGACCCTATGTATCAAATATGATACATATGGCATTATAGGGTTAGGTGTTGATATCAAAATAGGTGTAAAATGGGGGGTTTGGTTTAATATGGTATTAAAGGTAAAAGCTGTGTAGATTTGCTGCTCATGTGTTATCTCCAATTAAGACTACATAGGAGATGGTCCCGGGACCTTCCTGATTTAAACTTGGAGAAGTGGTTACTTATTGAAAATAAATGGTATGATACAGAGCATAAATGTAGACAACACATAAAGTGTTATGCAAAGTGTTTGCCTATTCTGATGCCCATAAAACAGGATTTTAAACACTCACCACCACAGTAATGATCTGTCTTGGGTTTAGAATAAAAATGGTTGATGTATCAAATTTCAAATCAAGTAAATAACTTAAGAACCAGTTCAGGGAGGCTGGTCCTGGACCAATGGAAGCACTCAGAGCAGTCTCTGACACCAACAAATAAACAAAATGATGTGAGGGTCCGCACAATGTCTGTTTTGAAACTTTGAACATTACGTGACACATTTGAAACAACTCACCTGGGTTGGCCTGCCATGCAACAGTAAAGCATGTAGGAAGAAACGCATTCAGAAGCCAGTTCAGAACACAGTACTCAGGACAAAAAGAGTCCATGTTTACCTGTAAAGTCAACGGCCTATCCTTTTTCAAATAGAAAAAAGGAAGTTTGGATCCATGTCCAAAATTTACAGCAAAATGATAAACGCTTGACTTAAATTGTAAGATGAAGGAATTTGGGCAGGACTTGTTATTTTAGTGGCTTGACTTTAAGTTGTGTTTACCACAAACCTTAGAGACAGAGATGACGGGACTCTTGGCCATTTTTCACAAATAAATTTAAACAAAGCTGACCAGAGACAAATGTGAGGGGGGAAATGACTGACTCTTCCATTTTCCAAACCATCAATGGTTCTAACTAAAATATTCAAAGAAAAAAAATAAACGGCATAACCAGAAAAGGACTAACAGGTAAATGTCTGATAGATAAAGATTTACCTCTCAGCTGTCAGGTGAATAGTGTACTGTCTTACCCAAATGTATGTATTAAATAGTTTTTATTCACTAAATGTACATCCTCCTTGTATCTTAGATCTATGCTGTATAAAGCTTGGTAAACCGTCCGGTTTAAACATGCGAATGTTATGTTTGAGAAGGTTAATGTCTATGCATTTTGCAGATGCTTTTATCCAGAGTGACTTACAAGCATCAACTTAACAAGTAACTGCAAGATATGTGCAAAGGCATCTCCACACAGGAAGTCTCTGGGTGTAGTTAACACTTCTACTAATCTGTAAGCCTCCACGTAAAATCTGAAGAAATATTGTGAAATGCTACATCAAAGGGCAGGCAACTACAAAATCTGGATCTTAATTGCAAAAGTTGCAAATTGGCTAGCGTAACTATTGGTGCATTTTGTAGTTGTATGTTTGTCGTCTTACCTCGTGTTTTAACTCAGCTATCTGGTCTTTGAGGTCGCGTATGTATTGACTTGAGTCTGTATGGTTCAGCTGGCCTTGTACCTTTCCTTCTTCTTTCTGTTGGGAAATTAGAAATTGCTGTCAAAGGGCTACAACGCCAAAAGCCAAGCCAAGGAAAATATAGTCTTTTTTTCAGTGACGAAAACCATTGACAGAATCTGTCAAAATAAATCACATGAAATGTATTCAATATTAAACATTACTATTGAATATCAGGAGTTTTAAGAATATCAGTAGTTTACATATGACCTGTTTATTGAATTCTGGCAGACTAGACAGCTAATAAACGGACAGATTAAGCAGTGGTGGAAGACAGAGAACCCCCCCAGCTGCTGTCATAACATCACACAGTGCCACCGTTGTGTGGTGGCTGACCAAAGTGACAGATGTGTGGGGAAACACAAAACAATTTCATTTGTGCTTGATTTCCTCCCAGGGCCCCGGGGATGGGGCTGGTTGTTGGCTCCAACAGTTAAAACAGCCCATGTGATGTTTACGTTCCACAGTGAAGACATCTGCAGGCAGGGGTTAGGGCGAGAGACAAACACATACTCTCTCTGAAACCCCCGTCGTTCCTTTCCCAGTTTAGCACCAAGATCAATGGCGGGCACACGGAGGAGTTCAAAACATACACGGCACAACTGATGCAAAAAAGAAGATGTGTACACCATACACAGCAATGGGTGGGGTGATGAGGTTAAGAGTTACCACTGAGATCTCACTAGCGGGTCGACACCCCAAAATACAGATAAGGATTTTGACTCTTGTGGTGAGGTGGGGTTGAAATTTGTAGGTCCCAGTAGGCTTTTTTTTTTTTTAAATAAGTGAAAGTCTAGACAAATCAGATTTATCAAAGAATTGGTTGTTTTTGAGGTTTAGCAGGTCCAAAATACAGTAACGAAAAAGGCAGGCGGTTCATAAGACTTCCTCATATCCAGCTGTGTATCACCAGGTGTCGGGCTGTGGCCAGGGATGCCATACTCACTAAAGTGCACTCCCTGTGTCCCTTTACTGCCACTCTGCTAGTTTATTAGGTCTAAAAGCATTGCCGTACAAGGGACAAACTTTCTGAGACATTTTCTTCTTTATCTTCTTTACCAATAGATGTTTACTCAGTTTACTGCTTCGAACAAATTGAGCTAAGAATCTGACAACGTGGCAAAATAATTGTCTTTACTTTCTTTTTATGAAATGCCCAAATACCACTGCTATGGTAATAACTTTATGTGAAATGCATACAAATGTACATCTAAGAGATTACATTAATCATCAAATGATTTTAATATTATTAAAAACATCACCATTGTCGTAGCAACATCGGGATTATTCAGAATTGTAATAATGTCGAAGAGGGTGATGTGTGAAAAATAACAGCTGTGTGTGGTTTTTTTTAAATGTTAGAAAAACAGACATGATGAAACTATAGCGATCTGAGAGATGAAAAAGATAGAATTGCTATGTTATCATGACAACTTCAAGTTAGACACGAATGTTATGTAGAACAAGGTGAAACATTTTGCACAAACCTTTGAGTATATCAGAGAAACCTCAAAATAAACCATGCATGTCACCTTTGGTATACTCTGCTACAAAATAAGAAACCACTTCCTATAATGCCATGAAACAATGACGCTGAGGTGTTTTAACTAAGGGCATCATTGTGAGAGTGAAAGAGTCCTACGCAAAAACCTTTCTAGACATTAAAGTTTCAGTGACAATGTTTTCCATCATCACTCAGTGGTTGTCTTTTTCATTTTTTCATGTTTTAATGAAATCTGTGCAGGACTATTAAAGGTTATTGTTTAAATACATGGAATGACTAAATAAACATCTGCAATTTCTCTGAGAGTTATCTGATCACAGGATGACCTCTCACATGCTAACTGAGCTGTAAACCATTAGCACAGTGCATCAACATCTCTTAAGCGGAAGCCTTTTTCTTTGAAATATTTTTTTTTCTCTCAAGCTATAGGAGGAGGTAACCAAACCACAGACCAAGAAGCCAAAAGTTTTACAGTGATTTAAGACTCTGGTCATGACAAAGAAAAACAAATCATTTAGAAAATTCAAAGTGTGAGTACGGTGTAAGTACAGTGAGAAGCCTTGTGTTATTGAAGTGCTCTACTGAGACTTCATTATGCAGATTCTGAAAAGTATGAGTGTGGTAGTTAATTTTTGTGTTGCATATTTTTTTCTCCATCACTTAGTAACCAAACCTCAGACCACATGGTGCGATTGTGTGGGCCCTGTGCAGGAGAGGAGTTGAGTTCGTACTTTTCTTTGTGGGTGTCATATTTATAAATACCTTTGGCTTTTGGACCATTTAAAACACACTTAAACTTGGAGCCAAAGTTGCACTTTAAAAAAAATTTAATCTTATAAAGTTTCTAATTTGGCTGATCAGATAACCAAAGTAACATTATATTACAAAAAGGTAAATTTACAAATAAAACATTTCTCTTAAAATTTTTGTAGAACTGTCTGTATTTACACAATTATAACTTATTTTTATCATTAGAAATGTATGATACCAACATCAATGACCTAACATGATAGCAAGTATGAATGTTGTACGGCCCTTACAATTTCTAAATAGATCAAAACGTAGCCACTAAATTAGCTCCCATAAGAAGGGGATAATGCTATCTCTATAAATGTTCATAGAGAGATTTTTAACTTATAAAAAACACTGAACATGGTTGATAACTATCAACTGGATCTTGGCTCCTGTGAGCAGTAGCCGTGATTGCACTGATAGCATATCTGAAAGTAAGTCATCTGATGTTTAGCGAGTAGGGGAAAGTTAAAAAAGAAAGTTCCTTGCAGTTTTTTATATCCACTGTGTTACAAGCCATTTAGCAAATACTGGTTCAAGGATCTTTTTCAAATAAAACTAGTCTAATAGCCTAATAAAACCAACACATGAAGCAGAGGAGCGTCAGGAAGCTTTGTCTGATGCATGCGTGCTGGTGCACCACTGCGCAACACTGAGGCACAAAACGGATGGAGGATATAGAAATAATAACAGAATGACTTGTGCAAAGGGAGACAAACAAAACAAAGACCCAAAACTCCACAATCAACAAAAAAAGCATCGAAAGCTTCATTTACAACAACCAAACTTAATACATGAGCTCAAAGCAACCACTACAGACTTGAATCTTTGTGGTTGCCTGCAGGGCTGAATATGGGTGTTTAATCGTAACAATAGAAAGGATCCTCCGACTTCTTTGGTCCACTGTCTTTTAAAACAGACAAAGACTCAAGTTTACACACAACATGTCTGTTGCCATACTCAGCAGTAAGTATTATAAAAACCTGTGGTGTGAAAAGTGTTGAGCAAACAAACAAGCTCATACTAAATCAATTGGCCTTTTTAGATCACTGTCTGTTGGTTTTTGGATTGCATTTCGGGCAGCATTTTACACATGTTTGAGGGTAAATACTGGATTCTTAACCTCTGCCAGTTTAAACATGTCCACACAGCACCGGCGCAATGTTTAAATGTCCTGAGTATTATTAACGTAACTAATGGCTTAATCAAACTGAAAAATTCCAGTTCACTCAGACTGAAAACTATGAGAATAATGTCGTTTCTAGCACTAAATGAAGTATGGTAAATTATGGTATTGTGAAAAAATATTACCATAAGCTCTTTTAATGAAATACAATGGCTAAAAATAGAGTGAAGGCTGAGAATAAAAAGAGAGCAAGCGAAACTGTGTTGTTTAAATTTTTTTTTAAATAATTGTATCTAAGTGTGTCTGCGTGTAGTCTGTGTGTTATTACACACATTTATCGAAAAACCCTCAAGAACTGTAAAACAGCAAAGAAGGATAGTGGTTTGGAGGATGTTTCCTCTGAACTAGGGTATGTGATTAGCAAATGCTGTTTGTCACATGCTTTGTTTACAATATTTGAAGCACGTAAAATATGTCCAAATAGCCATTTCTAGCCTCAGTGGATAAAGGGAAACCTGAAACCTGATCAACAAGGAGAGCTGTATCTGTCCAAGGACCTCAGTTGGATGCTGAGGTGGAGGTGTCGGAGAGGAGGATGCTAAGGAGCACCGGGGGTCACCATAGGGAGGTGTTCTCCCTTGCCTATAAAACTGTATAATTCTTCATCCACTTGCAGGTGGGATACCCAACTTAACTAAACGGACTCGCACACACAGACATTTTTACCTTTGACACTTTCAAGTTGACGCTTTTCCACTCTTGCTGGTTTAGGATTATGTTTCAATTTTGTATTTCATGTTGCATCTGGCACAACAATTTGCCTCAGGATCAGTAATCAACCACATATAAAGTAATAGGATATAAAAGATTAACACTGAGAATAGTATTACTTTATAAGCAACAGAAATCAACCCAACAGAAATTAGCTCTGCGAAATCAAACCCTTCTAGAATGTTCTAGAAGAAGGATGTGGTTTAATCAGATCTGATTGATGATAGTGTCCTTTTAGCAAAGCAAGTACATCTACTAAAATCAGATCATTCTATTAAAATTATTTGATAAATTTAAACACATTTTCATCACCACCCACAAAAAAACCTGCAATATAAAGAACCCATTACTGGTCAAACTTTAGCACATGACATTTAGTCCATACAATAACTTTTAGAAATAAGTAAAAACTATGCATCTTGTAAACAACATTTTAAAAAGTAACACTTTTTTGTCATCACCTTCTGCTTTGCTTTAAATGACACTTCCCTTTGTGTCTTAAAAAAGTACAGATATGAGTGCTGTGGTTTATGAGAGGGTTCAGGAAATTCAAAGCTCAATGCAGAGGAAGGAGTGTGAGTTGGGACTTTACCTGAATCTCCAGCTCAGAGATCTGTTGCTGGAGCTCAGCCATAGCAGCAATGTTGTCAGCTTCCCGCAGTCTCACTGCCATCACTTCTTCCTTGCTCTGTAGGATAAAGACCAGATATCACGTTTTCAAATTTTCATGGTAACTCAAACTTTGAGCTCTTGCTTTCTTTTAAGTTCTGTGGTTAGGCTTCAAAAATATGCAATAGTTTCCCCACCTCAGTGGCAGTGTTGAATGGTGCATTTTTTTACCAGTGGTGGAGTTTTTACCTTGCATTCAATCTCAGCTTGTTTGCGCTTAAGTTCTTGCAGTTGCACTTGCAGATCTTTGTTCTGCACTGTCAGAGTTTGCATGCGCTCCTGCAAAGAACGGCACTCCTGCTCTGCCCGCCGGAGCTGGTTACTATGAATCTGGTTCTGAATGAGCGATGAGGCACATTGGAAATGAATAAGTGATTACCATAAGCCACAGCAGACTGAAGTCTGAGAGTTGAGGATGCACAAACTTAAACTTCAGTGTTCTAAGGAACAGGGGCATGCTGCCCTCTAAAGGTTACTGTTTGGCACTAGATGTAGAGAATTCTCTTTTTTTCAATACACATACTTGACATCTACTTTATTTCCAAATGTGCCTATACCATACAAAAACTATAGTTGTCTATGAAAAACTTTAAAATGACAATAATGGTACATCAAAATGTAAACCTATACGATAGAAAAAAGGATAAAATGTTTGCTGTTAAGAATGATTTCAGCTCTGACCTGTGTCTCCAGCTCCAGCATCCTCTGCCGAGTCTCTCTCAGTTCTGCTTGGGCCTCAGCTTCACTCAACCTGACACTCATAAGCTCGTCCTGCAGCGCACTCAAGGTGTTTTTTTTGGGGCTGTCTTTCCAGCGACCAGCAGTGCGGGCCAAGTGACGCTGAGGGAATGGTTCACAGTTACTTTCCATCACTCATTTAACAACAGCACGCTTTACTTTATCTGTTTTGCTGCACATTTCTACATCAAAAAGTATGCGTGCATCATCTACACTCTCAGTCCATCCTTTGTTTAAGATATCTGGTGCTCACCTGCCAGTGCTCTTCTAGATCTCTGACCTGCTGTCTCAACTCTTTCAATCCAGTAACAGCCTCCGCCTCTCTCAACTTTACCCCAATCAGCTCTTCTTGGAGTCGTGCCACATTAGTGTCATCTGGTAGTGATGAGTTCCTCTATAGAAGGTAAGCAAAATGAATAGGAATGTTGGTGTATAGCCAGATCAGCAACTGTTATTCTTGTCTGATGGTTATGTTCCAAGCAGTATAGCACTAGAATGTGTGCAGCAACCTACCTTTTCCATATCAAGGATCTTTTCTTGCATTTCCTTGAGGGCGCACTGTGACTCAGCCTCCTTTAGTCTTGCTTGCACAAGCTCCCTTTCAAGCTGCATGACAGACTCCTCTGAGCACCGAGGGGGTCCCTTCTGCAACCCAAATAATGACAGTGAGCCGTGTGCTTCTCTTTACATCCATTGCTTTACCTTTCACTTTCATGAACAAAATTCATAAGCACTCATTGTCAGTGGTGGAAAAAATACCCTGTTTAATTACTTGAATAAAAGTACAGATTGTACTGGTCAAATAACACTCCAGTACAAGTAAAAGTAGTTCTGTCAAATTATTACTTCTGTTAAAAGAATTGGAGTATCTGCTTTATAAAATACTTAAGTATTCAAGTACTTGAAAATCATTTTAAATATATATTTAACAGTCCATTTAGTGTAGTCAAAAGCAATTGTGGATTTTTTTTCCTGATACATTGGATAAGAACTCCACATGTGTGATAATAATAATTGTAATAAAGAAGCATTTGCTTCATAAAGCATGTTTCCAGATGTTCAAAGACGCTTTATAATTAAATGCATTCTTTATTCACTCCTCTCTCAAATTTGCAGAATTTAAACTGGCTCAGTTTAAATAAATAAAATACATTAAAATAAATATTTTCAGCAGAAGTCAAATAGAAATGCTGGAACTTTAAATATGTTACGTACAGTTTACACCAGAACAACTTGGGACAAAAAATTTACCAGCGCGAGTCTAACTCTGGATTCATGTCAGCATCATCACCCGTTTGTGCCCAGTATACCTGTACGGCAACACTTGTAGAACATAAATAACTGAAAAAATAACTTATTTTCTACACAACAACTTTAAAGCGGCATATCGCCACCTACTGAACAGGAGAGTAGTGAGTTATTTTACAGTGTGTCAGTTAGACAAAATAGACTCAAACTACATTAACAAACACGACCAAAAAAAGTAACACGGAGTGAAAACCCACATAGAAATTTAGTGTAGTGAAAGTAATACATTTAAAAAAAAACAATGCTACTCAAGTAAAGTACAGATTCTCAAAAACTGTACTTAAGAACAGTAATCAGGTTAATTTACTTCCTTAATGTCCACCTCTGCTAATTATTAACCAAGGCAGCAAATGATAAAAAACATGGCAATTACCCACACATTATTATTTGGAATCAAGTCATCATTAATTAAAAATATGAGGTCATCAGATATGCACTGAGATTATTCTGTAAATGGTATGCAAAGTGTCAAATTCACCAGCCGGTGGGAGAGCTGCTAAAGAAATTCATGAAAGCATTTCTGGAAATGCAGGAAACTGTAAATCGTAGCAGAATTGTGTAGTACCCTTGTCCCAATTTGAGGTCATGCATGTCAAAACAGGTTATTACCTACAACCAGTGTGCAAAGAGATAAGACAGAAGCCCTGGTCAGCAACGGTTTTGATTTTGTTACTGGCATTCAAAGCATACGGGGGGAAAGAAGACAACTTGCCACATCCACACACTCATGGCCAATTAAAAATTTCTTGTGCTTGTTCTTGTGTACTGTGCAAAGTTGGTTTCATATCATTCAGGTATAGGTAGTTATAGTAATAAAGAGTAAACAAATACAGGTAGCAGAACCAAATCTTAAATAAATGAAAACAGTTGAATGTATGTATAATATATTCAATATCATGAATCTTTTTGCAGTTTCTCATTCAAACAAGCTGCACATTTACTCCTGAAATTTGCATTAAATCCAATTACTAGGTTTGCGGTCTCAACACTTTACACAAAAACACATTTTGGGCCCTATATCTGCATATGACAAAAAATATGTTACTGTAAAATAGCCTAAGATAATTCTTCTGTACATACAGAAACCCTGGATTCGCAGTAATGCACACACGTGTCCAAACTGAACAAACTACATAATCTCAAAATAATCCGTCTTGAATTTGAAGCACTGTACCTTACGGATGTGGGAAGTAACCCACATGGATTCAGTAATACATGCAGCAGGATCAGAGCCAGTGCATCAAGCTGATAGGGGCTCTGCTGCCCTCCTTACCGCTTGTATCTGCTGTTGTTGCTGAAGCTGCTTGATGGTTTTCTTGGCCTGCTCCAGCTGAGCACTGGCCTCCTCATTCTGTTGTTTGACCGTGGCCAGCTCCCGCTTGACCAGGTAGTTTTCCTCTGCTTCTTGAGCTCGAGTCACTTGTCCCTTTGGACATACGCAACCGACGAATAGTAGGGTGAGCAAGCAAAGAAGTGAAGTAAAAAGGCGAAATGGGTTGGCCAATCAGAGAAGAGGGAATTGGTTTTCTGACATGACATGCTTGTCTCAACAACCTGTGATTTAGATTAATTATTTTGTTCTCTTGTGATACTACACTTGTTTGACTTTTTCCAACATGCCACAATGTGACTTTCATGCACTTATTTAATGATTTAATCATTATCATTATCTGGCTTAGTGCAGTATCAAATAGTGTTCACTAGTTTCTGAATCAATACTTCCCTTAATTGTGCTAATTATGGGCATGCCATGCAAAAAAGAAAATGGGAAAGAAAAAAGGGAGCAATAAGGAAAATAACAGTATAGGTGAAAATGAGAAATATACCTGAATCAATCTATCTGCCAAGGAAGCACTTTCCTACAAAACAGAAATACCAACAGAGACAGCAGAGAGACAACACAGAGGACAGTTAGAAGTACACAAAAGAACTGATTGTTTTAAAGAAGAACTGCAATGTTCATTTTTCCACCAGTGACAGTTTTTGACTGACTTTATAATGTTCACATTTACAGGTTGAAAAGGAACATTGCATGCAATAGTGGTGAAGGAAAAGACAGTGAAATAGTGAAGAAATGGAAAGTGTTCATAACACATACAGGTTTCAGACAAGACACAGCATGGTAAAACCCGTGGTAAAGTTGCTACAATAAAAAGCAGCATCGAGTATTTAATCGAGCAGACAGTCTGGGTTTCGAAGAGCTTCATCCAAACTTTTGAATAGGTTTTGGTTGATAGGGAGTTAAAGAGGCCTTAAGAGTTATGTGACAGAGACTCAGCAGAGAGCAGCAGCCTTGTGCTTAATGATGAACGTTTTTCTAGTGTTGCTTCGTGCAGGCAAATACAGCGCAGTTGACACTCGCCACCCACAGGTGTACAGTGGCATGAGTCGGCTTTCAGCATCAAGCAGCTTCATTCACATTCCAACCAGACTTGGTACAGACCGTCTCTGACCAGAAATCAGAAAACTCACCACAAATGTCAAGGTTTCATGACGTGTAAAAGGACACAACCCAGTTAACAAAAACATGACTGGGAGATATGAGTGATAAATGGAAATATGTAGCTGAATGAATGCAGGCAAGGTTAATGAGAAGGTACAAGTGTGTTATTTGTTTAGTGATGGAGCACCATTGCGCAAAACCTGATGCACCCTTACTTTCTCTAGGGTGTCTATCCTCTGCTTCAGAAGACGGTTCTCTGTTCGCAACCTCTGAAACAACAATTCACAAAGCATATTACACGATATCATGTCACATGCTTGAGCATTTGAGACATACTTAAAATACACACATACCTTTATCTCCACTTGTTCTTCCATCTCTTTTGTTTTGATTGTAGTGTATTCTTTCTCCAGTCTTAAATACAAATGAAGATTAAAGATAAAAAAGAGGTCTTTAGCGAACATTTTGTGAAAATAAAGAATACACAGAACGTTTACAGAACAAAAATGATACGCATAAAAGGAGATAATGACAAGCCAGCTTACTTTTTCATCTTCTTGGCATTGTATTTAACTTGATATGCAGCCTGGATGACCTTATCTGGTCCACTGTCAAGCTGATGTGGGATAACCTTCTGAAAGTACTTAAACAGTGTAAAGAAAGAGAAGCAGAAGTGTCACACAGCAACCTGCTATATAGTTCTTTGGCATTTGTCTGACCTCAAAGCACTGTATTCAGCACGACTACGTCAATTAGTATAAGCTAGTAGGAAATTTTTATCAATCGATTGGGTGTGGTGTCACTTTGTTCCTAGACAAGTTCAACGAGTTTCTGGTACAAAGTGTAATTGGCACCAGAGAATTGAATTGTGTGAGTGTTGAGTTATAGCTCACAGATATACCTGTAACATGCCCTCCATGTCAAGTTGGATGAGTTCAGCCTGATTCATCTGAAGGATGGCCAGCCCCACACGAAAAACTATCTCCAGACCCTGAACACAAGGAGATCCCAAGAAATGTGTATGTGTGTGTATATATATATATATATAAAATATCCAGGTCACAAAAAACTTTTATATTCCTTTGAGGCAGGGGTTGTAATGTCTGATCTTGCCTACAGGTGGTCCTATTGGATTGCATTATTTTCAGACAGTTCATAGTTTTTTCCATTTCTGTTATACAAGTAGTGTTAAGACCTGTTATTTCTTTAATGAAAAGTAAAAAAACATTTAACCTAATAAACCTAAGGTACTATAGAAGTTATACATAGATTAAACAAAATGGCATGCAAACTAACAAAAAAAAAATCTTAACAGAAAGCAGAACCGAACTGACAAAGCAGGAAATGGCCTCTCAGAAAAGCTTAAACTCTCTTAAACTGACCTCACACATAAAGATATCAAAAATTCTTGTGGCGACAGGCAAAGGGAAAGAAGTGAGGAAGATGGTGAGGAACCACGAGGAGGCATACATCGAGGTATGAAAACTCTGAGCCTGGAAATGCATATGCAGCTCAGGGAGATGTTCCTGCGAGTTCAGAATAAATCATAGATTAAAACAGTTCCTACAGTACAGAAGGGATTTATTAATACTTATATCTTCATCTGGACACTCAGTATAATGTGTCTACCTGAATCATGCACTCAAACTGGTACATGCAAAGTCCCAGCTCAGCCATACTGGGTTTGAAGAGTTCTCGTAACCTGTAGTCTTGCATCAGCTTTACAAACACACAGAATGCTTCTTCTTCGGGCATCTTAAAAAACACACACAAAACACAAGAAACGGTGGATTTTTTTCCTATAACCTGCATTTTATCAGTTTTGCTGATGTGCGCGGTTTATGTATACTCATGTATATGATGGATAGCATTTTTACCTGCATGAGAAGCAAACCGACAATGAATGCACTTCCCTGACAATAACCAACCTCACGGTCCACCAGAGAATATGCCTGAGAAAAGAGAGATCAGTTAGATTCACTGATGTTTAAGAGTACACAGTTCTCTGACAGTCAAGTATAGATTTACACAGTTCAAGTCACATTTTTTTATGTTTTGAAATGTTCAATTAAAGTGCCCGTTCCTGTTGTATGTAGACATGTCAATCAGTTCAAATAAAGAGGCTCTTCAAATATAAAATGTACCTTCATGACATTAAACAGCACTTCTTGGCCAAAGCTGTCCTTCTCTTTGAAGAAGTCGTGTTCTGGATAAGTGCGGGCAATGTCTCTGCGAATTAACTTCTCGCACGGCGATGTCATCTTCAAAAGTTCCGAGTACTGATCCTTGATGGGCATATTCTGGGCATTACACAACAGCTGCCAAACAATTGCCCGAAAGTGGTGAGGAATCCCTTTCCTGACGAGGTCCTTTGGAGAAACAACAGAAATGTTCACGATTTTCTAAAGGACTTACACTTTATTTGTGTGGGTGGAAGATGTTTATGACCACCTTTAAAGAAGAAATTCACATTTTCATAAATATTGCAGAACACGATAAGCATTTAAACTAAAAAAAGTTTTGCTTTCTAAAAAATTGTTAAAAAGTTAAAAGTCCTTGTTGTAATCTGACTTTTATTCCTTGAAGCCATTAATAAATGTTATACTCTATACTGGATATTCGTTAAAAGATATTTTATGGAAATAAATTATCTGTGTGCAAATAGTTGGTAGTGACAGCTGATTCCTCCTTGTGCAGCGGGCACTCTGAACCTAAAATCATTTAAGTACTTTTTTCCATCATACTGTTCAATTATAAAGACCTCTCAACAAAATAGCGGAGCATTATGTTAATTTGTCTGAGATGTGCTCAAAATCCCTTTGTAAAACTGTGGTTATTCTAGCTTTATTCTAAAATGCATAAATAGCGGTTTTAGATTTTCATCTGAATGCAGAGATCCAAAAACTGTAAACGTGTACCAGAGAAAAACAAAAGCTTTTGGAGAAAAATAACCTGCCTTTCAACAGCACACAGGCATGGGAGCCCTTACTATGTCTTCTTCCATTTCAGTTTGGTTTGGGTCTCATACTAAATTTCCACCATGAAATATAACCGAGTGAGGGACTTTGATGAGTGATTTGTTTCCATACAATATTGTTGATACAATTTGATTAACTCATTTCCTGTGCGGACAGGGAACACTGGTCTTTCCTGTGGTAATGAGTGAGTATGTTCAACCCTTTGAGTGTGTGTGTGTGTGTGTCTATGTCTGCATCTGGTCAGTCCAGAGTGCATCTGGAGCAGTGGTCCACCCACACAGGCTTTCATTTGGGGACCATATCTCTCCCCTCAGTTGAACTCAGACAAGACAAATTTAGCTTTGTTCCATATGGAACAATGTGCTATCACATATCCTGACTGACTAACAAAAGCAACATTCTGAACCACAACAACAATGTAACCATTTCTACTCTACCCAAAACAATATCAAACATGCATAAATAGAAAATCAATGTAAATCACAAATCGATATTAATATTCAGGTACTACAGTAGACTAAACTGTAAACTATTTTATAACAGCACTGCAACTGTCAAATGAAACCATGAAAAACCAACTGAAAACATAATCACATTGAAGGTTTTGATGACAAGGACAGAAAAAAAAAAAAAAGACTCCTCCCCTCATGAAACAGAAAATCTGTTTCTTGGTAAGTTGGGGAAAAACATATCTTTTTGGAGCCCTCATCAAATAAGACACCCAGGCCTTGTTGAACTGCTCTACAATTATGTTTAAGGTCCATTTACAACACTTCCTCATTTGAAAATTACCCAACTCAGCAAAAGATCATAGTCTTTCACTACTATTTTGCATGTGAGGATCTTCAAAACACGTGGGCTTTAAAGATCTCTTTTTTTGAGACCAAGTGAATACAATTTAAGTATCTACATGCAGCACAGTTACAGCTATTGCCAACTGAGTAATGGATCAACATGCTCATCCCTGTACACGTGTGAAGTTGCTGTGAGCATCTACTAAGTTTTGTGTAAGAGATCACTGTACATATATGTACAAGTGAATCACTAATGTTTTCTATGAGATAGTTTAAAGGTGATTTTTTTCAGATGATGCTAAAAAACAACTTTATTCTATCAGGCCAAACAAGCACTATGACAAATACCTACTGAATGAAGCCTTGATGGGAAGATTTGCAGTCACAATCTGAAACATTGAGCCATCTCACAAATCAACTGATAAATATTCAAATTAGATTGTTTTTATTCCAACTTAAGCTGGATACATGAATACCTATGTGCTGCAGTTAGGCTAAAAAATGAACCTTTCGAGCATTTGCAGAGCACTGATTCCAATTTCAAGTCTAGTTGAGTGCATACAGACAACATATGATTCCATCTGATTATCTGGATGAGTTATTTTGAATTTGTAAATAGTAAACCATTCCAGTCAAAATTGCATTTTACATGCCTTTTAAAGGTTGAGGTTTGGCTTGGAGTAGAATGATAATTTGTGGGTATTGTCATAGATTTAAAAGGATTGCATAAAGTACTTTAGCATCCAGAAACAATTTCGCTGTTGAAAAGTCTTAAACTTAAACTTCTTAAACATTTCAATCAACCGACAGCTGTTGGTATTTGCTTCAGCAAGTCAAGGTTTAAATCTGTCTTAGTAAGTTTGTTTATACATTTGAGTTCAAGAAAGCTTTTAAGCAGTACTTTACTAGACTCAACTGTCACTATATAGTGAATCACAGGCTTCATTCTAACCTTTAGCTGCTTCTCCTTCTTCTTGCGCACATCCTCCCACTCATTGACAATTCGACCCCACAGGATCCATGTGTCCTCCTCCAGGTGTGAGAGATTGGAGGAGGCAGAGGAGCTCGACACCAGGGAGGAGCCGCTGTTTCGCCGGGAGCCATTCATAGAGCGCAGTGACTTGCTATCTGTCTCCAACAACCTGTAGTGAAGGTAAAAGCCATAAATTAACATTTCTTAAACTGTCTAAACACAACTTGATGTTTCAAGTGAATATTTTTTTACCAGTGGGGTGGCTGTGGCTCAGGAGGAAAGATCACATTCCACCAGACCACATATCAAGAGTCCTTGGCCAAGGCTGAGCCCTGAGTTACCCACTGGTGCATCCACCAGTGTGTGAACATGTGTGTGACAGGGTGAATGACATGTAGTGTATAGCACTTTCAGTAGTCAGTTTGACTGGCACACACATATGTATATATATATATATATATATATATATATATATATACACACACACATATGTACACATATATATGCGTGTAATACAGCAAGTAGAACGCTGGAAGATAGAATAGACAGTAGTGCATTAACCATGAACTTAAACATACTATGAGCCAAGCTAATAATTCACCACGAGTCAAACACAAGTAACAAGCTTTAAATATTCTAACCAAAGCAAGTTACTGTTAATCAAGTAATTTCCATGACACAAACAGACATTTTGATTACATTTAGAAAATAACCTAAAGGCCATTTTCTTTTCAGATATGTTACAACTTCAAAATCCATTAAGTTATATGTCTTACCAAGTTAAACTCGTGAAAAACTCCACATATCTCTGTTTTTTTTTTAAATCTGGAGCTCTCGTATGTCTGATATACAGATTGTAGCAGTCGGTGCAGGACTTTGTGGTGGTACAGGACAAATGCTAGTGCCTTTTATCTGCTCTGTAGGGTACAAAGGCCTCTCCACACACGCTTTAATGGAAGCAGTATCAGCAATATAAACATGAAATCCAAAGTCCTCACTGACATGGGTCCTCCAATCTTGTGAGCACTCAAAATAATATAATTGTCATAATGTAGCTACAGCGGTTCAGGAAAAGATCCAAAGGGACAAAGCACATTCACTTGATACAAGAGCAAAAATTAATGGGTAAAATAAAACTGGACTTTATAAATAAATCCACAAAAGTTCCATCTTTCACGTACTCATATAGCTGAATCCCAAACAGAGCTGCTCCCTTTCCAACAATTTGGTAATATGGCTCAACACATCTGAAATCATGATCAAGACTAACTATAAACTCAATTACAAACATTCCTAGACTAACGTTCTGCCCAATTAATTAATGTTTTTATAACCTCCAAGCAATCTGACCAAATTAAAATTAAAGTAACTTCAAACCAACATCTTTAAATTCAGTCATGCTTAAACGTTTGATGATTTACCAAAGAGAGGAGAATGTTTAAAAAAAGAAAGAAAAAAAGACAGAAAGACAGAAAGAAAGAAAGAAAGAAAGAAAGAAAGAAAGAAAGAAAGAAAGAAAGAAAGAAAGAAAGAAAAAAAACAGTTGTGAGAGCACCCATGAACCCACTGTACAAAAGCCATGAGGTCATCCTCTCTTGAGTTAAATGTGAAACTGTTTCCTAAACTGAGGTGCTTGTTCGGTTTCTACCCCGACACAAAGCACAGAGCCATGGGTGAGAAACGCAAGAGAGAAAGAATTCACTAAGTTGGCCATAGATGCATGATTGCATCATCCTCTAACAGTATGCTGGTTTGATGGGAACAATGATCAACAAAGGAACAGCTCGCTGCATTGTTGTCAATGTACAACACTATTTCGGTGACGCAGTACATGTACAGCACAGATGTCAGACGACGACGCGGATCTCCCGCACACAGTGACGTGGCGTTTTAGAGTTTACTTTTGCAGCCTGAAATAAATTAAATTATGACATATGAAACATTTCTGTTGAGTTATCTGATTACCTTAGACAAGAAACCAGTTTAACAACAAAACAAGGCCAAGTGAAAACCTGTTGACTCTGTTTGATAGCTTTGATGATCCATTCTCATAGAGAAAGCCTCCATACATATACATATATATACACTACCGTTCAAAAGTTTGGGGTCGCCCAAAAAAATTTGTGTTTTCCATGAAAAGTCACACTTATTCACCACCATATGTTGTGAAATGAATAGGAAATAGAGTCAAGACGTTGACAAGGTTAGAAATAATGATTTGTATTTGAAATAAGATTTTTTTTACATCAAACTTTGCCTTTGTCAAAGAATCCTCCATTTGCAGCAATTACAGCATTGCAGACCTTTGGCATTCTAGCTGTTAATTTGCTGAGGTAATCTGGAGAAATTGCACCCCACGCTTCCAGAAGCAGCTCCCACAGGTTGGATTAGTTGGATGGGCACTTCTTGCGTACCAAACGGTCAAGCTGCTCCTACAACAGCTCAATGGGGTTCAGATCTGGTGACTGCGCTGGTCACTCCATTACCGATAGAATACCAGCTGCCTGTTTCTGCTCTAAATAGTTTAATAATAATAATAATAATTTGGAGGTGTGTTTAGGGTCATTCTCCTGCTGTAGGATGAAATTGGCTCCAATCAAGCGCTGTCCACTGGGTAAGGCATGGCGTTGCAAAATGGAGTGATAGCCTTCCTTATTCAGAATCCCTGTACAAATATCCCACCTTACCAGCACCAAAACAACCCCAGACCATCACATTACCTCCACCATGCTTAACAGATGGCGTCAGGCATTCTTCCAGCATCTTTTCATTTGTTCTGTGTCTCACAAACGTTCTTCTTTGTGATCCAAACACCTCAAACTTGGATTCATCTGTCCACAACACTTTTTTCCAGTCTTCCTCTGTCCAATGTCTGTGTTCTTTTGCCCGTCTTAGTCTTTTTCTTTATTGGCCAGTCTCAGATATGGTTTTTTCTTTGCCACTCTGCCCTGAAGCCCAGAATCCCACAGCCGCCTCTTGCAGACCAGTTTCATTGATAGAAGACAGGAGGTTAGCAGAAGTTTTGCAAATAGCCTCTTCAGACATGACATATAACCCGCCATCACGAACCACCATTATGTCAAAAATCCAGCTGCTGTACGACACTGAAAAAATCCCAAAAGGAGATGTACTGGTGGGAGCAGAACATATCACGCTGACAGGGGATCACTGGACTTCAGTTAGCAATCACAATTACCTTGGTGTTACGCACACATCATTGACTGTGAATGGAAACTCCAGTCATTTGCGTTAGCAATGCTAAAAACGGAGAACAGGCTTTACGCCGATGCCTATGCCCAGCAGTTGTTGTCTGTGGCGGAGGCATGGGGAGTTCAACCAAAGATCACCACAGTCTGCACAGACAGAGCCCCAAACATGATCGCTGCAGCGAGAAAGCTTCCATATGAGCACATGTTCATTTGTTTTCATTGTGTCTCCTACGTTACTGTGTGCCACATATACACATGTTAAACGTCTGAGGGCATGAAATGTGAATAAATATAATGTATCTAATGCTTATTATTCATTGAATCATTTTAATTGAAATATTTAAAATACTTTCCCAGAAAAAATTATATGCGATTAATTTAGATTAATTAATTACAGAGTATGTAATTAATTAGATTTTTTTTTTTAATCGATTGACATATATATATATATATATATATATATATATATATATCTTGGATTGCAGTATTAACACAATAAATAAATATACGGACATTGTGTTTCTTTGTCTTGTCCATTTGTATGCAGTCTGTATCCTGTTTTGCATAGTAGTGTTTTCAATAGGTAAATAGTTTTTCACCATAATAGTACAATAAATCTTGGTGAAAAGAGCATAAGAAAAGAATCACATTCCATAAATAAACGAAAACAGCCCTTTCAATTTAATATGAAGGCAAGACAAATTTATGTGCCATAGCACAATTAGTGTATAGGGTGTCCTGTGGCTTACTGGGCCTCAGCTGCACTTCAGGGCCCACCAGCCCCTCAGTTTTAGTTACATATTAGTCACCAGCACATACCACAACACACACAGCTGTACTTCCCGGTTCCCTGCCGCCGACATTGCTTACACTAACGGCCTTCGGTGGTAGGTGCATGTGGAGGAGCCCCACTGCTCCATCTCTCCATGGTTAGGATTATCTGTCCCATGGTCTCTGTCCCAGGCTCTGCTATGCTGAGTGGATGTCTGGTGTCCCTGTGGTGAGTTTACTGACTTCTGCACGCTGTAAGGCTGCTGGGTTCCTGGGTTTTGGGCCTGGATGGGGGTAGGGGCTAGTGGTCCTCGGCACCCATCACTGAGCACAATTCATGTAACACCTACACTACATATCGTGCATGTTCACACATATGCACGCACACACACTTAAGTGTTGACTAGCTGTGCTGTCCTTTGGGTTTGAACATTGCTATAAACACTTTTGTTTCGTACTCTTGCTGCTGTAGTTGGCGTTTCCCAACAGAGGCTGTCGGAGGATTTTGTAGCAGATGTTTTGTTCTATATATTTCCTCAGTAATTGTGTTCTTTTTTCCTCCTCTGTCCACACTTTCCCTCCTCCTTTCTGTCATGTTTGGCATCAATAAATAAATTATTAAGGGTTGGGCATCAAGGGAGGCTTTGCAGGAATAAAACCTCCCCAAGTAAAGCAAATGTCTTTTGTGCAACTATGGCAGACAAAGCACCATTCTGCTGCCATGATACTGGACAAAACAAGAATAAATTCAGCTGGTATGATCCAGTAAGCACACAGAGCAAAGAGCAACCAACAATGAAAAATTTCCTAAACTGAACAATGTATAACTTTTTCAATTTTACAAAAACAAACTAACGAGTGACGTTTCTTCACAAAAGTGATACGCGTTTGTTTCAGAGATGTGTTCCGTAGTATGGACGCTTTGACCACTGGCCCAGTTGAAATCTTTGTTATTGTTAATTTACAGTAGTTCAGCCAGTTGACGAGTCAGTTAAAAGTGGAATTTCAGCATGCTTGCTCATAATCATAAGGTCGTGTAACATTTCAGTCAGTGTCTTTCAAAGAAAGCTGAACCTCCTCATTGAACCTAAAGCTCTTCATTTTTTGTTTTCCATTCTAGCCTCCAGTTTGCAAGTCGTGGCCTGTTAAATGTCATTCAGGTGTTTGTGTGTGAAAATAAGAGGGGGGTGGTAGGGATTTACAAAATGACTCTGTGCCAATGAGTTCTATGAATGTGTAATAGAAAGCAAAAACCAAAACAACAATTAAGATAAGAATCTAAATTAGTATAGCAAATTAATTTGCTAGCATAATTAGTATCACAGCTAAACAATAAAATTATGCTTGTGAGAAAGTCACTGTAAATTTTGCAAACAGGTCAGTAGTAACTTTGCTTCCCAAGGTAGTTTGTGAGGAAAGAAACTCTAGTATGTATTTGAATGCCAAAATCAGTAAATTAGCATGAAGTTCCACTTTATGGAACTTGCACTCAGTCCATCATTAGCCATCATTCAGAATCTATTTAAAATATGATCCACAAAAATGGGTTAAATAAGTACACTGACTTTGAGAGAGATGTTGACTTATCAAACATTGCTGGCCTCAGCAGTCAGCCATGTTACATTAGACATATTACATTAGGAATTAATTAGCCATTAAAGCAAAGATTTCATCTTCATCAACTGCACAAGTGCTAAATCGTCCGTCTCTTTTTTCTTTAAAGGGCATCACTGAAAACACAACAGGAGCAAAACTGCATAAGTTGACATTTAACTTTTTCTGGAAAAATAACTATTTTCACTTAATCATATTTCTATATCATTCACGCTCATTGCCACTTGAAAAAAAAGGAGCCTCATAAGGATAAAATTATATAAAATGAAAATTATCAGAGATTTTACCATCAGTTTTATTCTAAATGATAGATGTGCTCATGCAATTTTTATAAAAATGTATGAGTCTTTTACAGTGTTTGAATGTGTCATTCAAAAACCTACATATGACATGTCAGGTCTAAATGGGTTTAGTAGACAAGCTTCCCATATTCCACATAAACTCATAACTGACTTATTGTACCTTAGACTTCAAAGTCTAAAGACTGCATTGTATTTCTGTGCAACTACTTTAAACATAACACTCAAATGGCATTTCAAGCAAATCCACACTGCATAATATGGACCCTTGATTTCTAAACAGCCATTCAGGGTTACGGTCTCTTCAGAAAATCTGATCACTTACCTATTTTGCTCCTCGAGCTTGGCAAGCAACTCCACATCATCAGGACTGAGCTGTGCCGGTGTGGTTGGTGTCAGGGCAGGTGAAGACAGAGATGTGGAGGAGGATGTAGTGGTAGTCTGTAAGGATGTTGGTGTGGCCACCTGACTAGCCATCTGACTGACTGTGAGGGACACGGAGTTCTTTACCCATGAGAGAGTAGAACTCAGCTTTCCAGCAACCTTATCTGTCGCCACCTGCAAAACATGGAGGAAGTACATACCTCTTATTTCCTGAATCACACCACTTCTCCAAAACAGCCTTCCCACTCACAATGTCTATCCTGATAGAATATCTACACATTCCAGCAAGATTCCAGTACTACATATCCAAAAATCATTATTAATTGGATCTCATTAACATTTTTCAGGTTGGTTTGATAGTTTCAGTGAGTTTCAGCAAATTAGTTTTTCTTTTTCTGATACCTTGAACAACTGGCTTGAACTCAAGTCCAAGTGAAATGAGTAAGTGCTGAATCATGACTATAACACATAAATAATCTGTCGTTTTTCTTAGTTTTAACGGGAAATTTCCCACCTCAAACAGGAAACTTCCTTTATTTCAGCAATTCACTTTAAGAGGCTTTCAGTTAATTTTTTTCTGTCAGATCTGATATGTCTCAGTCTTGAGCTTTACGAGCCACTTCAGAACAATTAATCAAATCTAAAGAATCCCATAGTTATTCTACTATGGGCCTACACAGCCAGGGGACCTCCCATCATTATTTTCCCCATGCATGGTTGTATGAAGAGTTTGAGCACCGCTGACTATTTAAAATATTATCATTTATAAATTGTTAGGTGTTTGTCTCCGTAATATCATTTTGATCTATACAAAAAACAAAAACAAAAAAAAACTTGTGGACATAGTAATATTTCAGGATGAAATTAAACATGTTTATTAGGTTCACATATGCATCTGACCAAAATTAGGTAGGTTCATAAATTTAGGCACCCCACAAGAAAAATCACATCAATTTTTAGCAGTGCATCCTTTTGCAAAAAAGACAGCCACCTGAAGCTTCTTGTAGCCTCTAACGAGTTGAATCTGGATGAATATATTTTGTACCATTCTTCCTGATAAAACATCTCCAGTTCAGGGAGGTTCAATGGTCTTTGAGCACAACACAGCCCAATTCAAATCCAACAGATTTCCAATATTCAATTCTAAGGATTGGGATGGCCATTCCAGAAAAATGCAATTATTTCTCTGCATGAATGCCTGAGTATTCTGGGGTCAAAACAATTCCGGAAGAGATTTTTTACAAAATATTTCTACAGAATGACAATTTAGAATTCAAGACTGCTTCTATCATTGAAATTTCAGATCATGCTCCATGTCATTTGGTTTATGAAGCAAACAAAGGGCGAGAGGAAGGGTCCACCCTGGACAGGTCACCAGTCCATCGCAGGGCCACACCGATACAACCACACACACATTCAGTTCGCTCCTAGTTGCAATTCAGATTGGTCTTCCAGTAGATTTAAACAAGACTTTTAAAGACAAACTTTTAACCCCACTGTTATATAACTTTAAAGACATTTTTCAATATCATTATCTTCCTCCCTCAATGAATTCTGCACTGATTACTCCTCAGTGGATGCCAGGCAAATCTCCAAATAAATGCGAAAACTTTAAGTAAATTAGTTGACTAAATTCGTATCTGGAAATAATCTCCAAGGTGCTAGCACGATGTTCACAAAAGAACTTTCCAAATACAATTGACCAAGATCAAAATGGACTTGTTATGGGCAGGCAAAGCTTTCACAATGTGAGGAGAATATAAAATGTAATTCATTATAATGAGGGCGCATCAGACTGTGTTCTCTTACCATTAGACGCTGCAAAGGCATTCGTTAGGGTTCCCTGGTTATATCTTTTTCAGGTTTTGAAAAAATTTGAATGCGGAAACAAATTTGTAAAATCGATAAAATATTATACAACAAGCCCTGAGATTAAAAGATAACTAACAGAAATATACAGGGGTTGGACAATGAAACTGAAACACCTCTCATTTTAGTGTGGGAGGTTTCATGGCTAAATTGGACCAGCCTGGTGGCCAATCTTCATTAATTGCACATTGAACCAATAAGAGCAGACTGTGAAGGTCCAATTAGCATGGTAAGAGCACAGTTTTGCTCAAAATATTGCAATGCGCACAGCATTATGGGTGACATACCAGAGTTCAAAAGAGGACCAATTGTTGGTGCACGTCTCGCAGGCGCATCTGTGACCAAGACAGCAAGTCTTTGTGATGAATCAAGAGCCACGGTATCGAGGGTAATATCAGCATACCACCAAGAAGGACAAACCACATCCAACAGGATTAATGGTGGACGCAAGAGGAAGCTTCCTGAAAGGGATGTTCGGGTGCTAACCCGGATTGTATCCAAAAAACATAAAACCACGGCTCCCCAAATCACAGCAGAATTAAATGTGCACCTAAACTCTCCTGTTTCCACCAAAACTGTCCATCGGGAGCTCCACAGGGTCAATATACACGGCCGGGCTGCTATAGCCAAACCTTTGGTCACTCGTGCCAATGCCAAACGTCGGTTTCAATGGTGCAAGGAGCGCAAATCTTGGGATGTGGACAATGTGAAACATGTATTGTTCTCTGATGAGTCCGCCTTTACTTTTTTCCCCACATCCGGGAGAGTTACGGTGTGGAGAAGCCCCAAAGAAGCGTACCACCCAGACTGTTGCATGCCCAGAGTGAAGCATGGGGGTGGATCAGTGATGGTTTGGGCTGCCATATCATGGCATTCCCTTGGCCCCATACTTGTGCTACATGGGCACGTCACTGCCAAGGACTACAGAACCATTCTGGAGGACCATGTGCATCCAATGGTTCAAACACTGTATCCTGAAGGAGGTGCCGTGTATCAGGATGACAATGCACCAATACACACAGCAAGACTGGGGAAAGATTGGTTTGATGAACATGAAAGTGAAGTTGAACATCTCCCATGGCCTGCACAGTCACCAGATCTAAATATTATTGAGCCACTTTGGGGTGTTTTGTAGGAGCGAGTCAGGAAACATTTTCCTCCACCAGCATCACGTCGTGACCTGGCCACTATCCTGCAAGAAGAATGGCTTAAAATCTCTCTGACCACTGTGCAGGACTTGTATATGTCATTCCCAAGACGAATTGACGCTGTATTGGCCGCAAAAGGAGGCCCTACACCATACTAATGAAGTATTGTGGTCCAAAACCAGGTGTTTCAGTTTCCTTGTCCAACCGCTGTATATACAAACCAATAAAGATCAATGGGGGCTATAGACTGTCCATTATTGCCATTGTTCTTCACTCTAGCAATAGAGTAATTTGCTATGGCAATATGCTCCCACCCTCTTATTCCTATCAAAATCAAGCCAATCGATACATATGACTTGGAAATAAGTTAATTGATTAGTGAGATATCTAGCTACAAAATAAACCAAAACAAGCCTTCTATCCTGTTATTGAATACAAACGACAGAAATAGCCCAATATATATATATATATATATATATATATAAAACCAATTACAAATTCATAATGAATTAAGTTCATAATCAATTTCAGAGATGGATAATACTGGCAATATCTATGATTGGAAGAATAAACGTAATAAAAATGTGTTAGCAAAGTTACAGAGTTTCATCTCTTGATAATGTTGCAAGTTTCTGAAGGATCTTAAGGAAGATTTAAGGCTTGGAAGGAAGATTTATCTGAGTTATCTGAGGATGATTGGAAAGCAGCATATACGTCGGCCCACGCCAGCTCTATCAATAAAAGTCTTAAAATTTTCCAATTCAAATAATTTATGTTGGTTTATATAACACAGATAACAATAAATGTTACAAGAAAAGATCTGATGTACGTCCAAAATGTATAGAAGATAGAGGGACTCTTACTCACTGTGTGTTGTACTGTAGAAGCATTATGGTGTTTTGAAAAGAGGTAAAGGATGTAGCTGAAGAAATCATCTCTAAACAAATAATGTTGGTTCCAAAGCTGTTTCATTTGGACTGTACCCAGAAAACACAACTGTACCAAAAATGAAAAAAACATTTGGAAATGTAAGTTTGCTTAATGCAAAAACATGTGTATGAAAGGTTAAAAAAAAAGATTTGTTTGAGTCTATTTAGAACCCCTTAATTATGTACCGTATTTTCTGCACTATAAGGCACACCTTCAATTTTTCATAGGGGTACGTTATGGGAAATAATTTAATTATACGGGACACCGGAAAATGATTAATAAAATATATTTGATTGATTGATGCATCCACTAGATGCAGCTGCACTCAAGAGAATGTCAATAAAAGATAAGTCAGTCAAACTTTTTCAATACATTATTTACAATATGACCAACCTTCTTCAGCTGTAAACACAAAAAAAAAAAACACATACATTTCAATTTACCAGTTAATTTCTCTTCAACAAATCCCTCGAATTCTTCTTCAGTGTCCGAATTGAACAGTTGGGCAAATACGGGATTCAACATGCCCGGCTCTGTCTCGTCAACATTATTTGAGTCAATGTCGCTGCTGTTGTCTGGCAGTTCAGTGACAATTCCTGCCTTCCTGAAAGCTTGCACCACAGTTGAGACTGATATATCAGCCTAGGCATTTACGATCCACTGCCAGATAGTGGCGTATGTCGTTCGGGGCTGTTTCCCCGTCTTGGTGAACATGTGTTCGCCTTCTATCATCCACTGCTCCCACGCAGTTCGCAGTCTAGCTTTAAATTCCCTGTTGACACCAATATCTAGCGGCTGGAGTTCTTTTGTCAATCCACCCGAAATGTCGGCAAGCACTGAATTAGTGGACTTCACTGGTTTTTTGACACCATCGATGATATGGGAACGCATCGAGTCATAGATCAATAGGGACTTAGCTGCGTGAAAAAAGCAACCCTGTCTCCTGATGTAAATTTCTCTCAACCACTTACTCATCTTCTCTTCATCCATCCATCACTTTCGAATTAGCTTTGATGACGACGCCGGCAAGGTCTTCCTCTTGCAAATAACCATGGGTCGAAGTTTCTGGCCATTAGTCTGGCAGGCGAGAACTACGGTGTACGTGCTCCCAGAGAGATTACGTCTTTTCATAAACCGAAAGCACCAAGAAGGACTGCCTCTAAAGTCACTGATGTTGATTTTACCTGCTAGCACTGTTGCCTTCATTCGAAAAGTGATCGTTGAGACAATTCTACTTGCTGCTCTCTGTTCAATGACCCACTGTTCGAGTTTGTCCCTAACTGTATCCATCTTGCTTTTTCCCCTCGGAAACTCTGTTTAGTCTTCATTACCTGGCGCAGGTCATCTTCTTGCTTCCTCCACTTCCGCACCGTTGATTCATTAATTTTGAATTCTCGAGCTGCTGCTCTGTTCCCATGTTTTACTGCGTAACTAATAGCATTGAGTTTAAACTCTGTCTCGCACACGTCTCTTGAAAAGAGCCATTAAGACACACAAATGGAAATGAAAGTTCCCGCTTCGCGCAGTCATATATCCCCGCATGCACCAACCGCTACTTCTTCTACGGGAGAAAATAGAGTCAGCGGTTGCTCCCCGTAGTTGCCAGACCTGTTGCGGCTGAATCTTGATCCAAACATAGGGTGCACCTGATTAGAAAGCGCACTGCTAGTTTTTGAGAAAATCGAAGGCTATTACGTGCGCTTTATAGTGCGGAAAATACGGTATATTAAAGATCTGAACATACCAGAAAAGAGTGCAAGTGACTCAAGGAGTTGTGCACTGCAGTTCCTATATACAAACAATTTTCTTAAGGTACATACACTGTAGTATTTGATACCTAAAATTGAGATGGGGTGCTTTATGGGCAACTTTGTTGGTTTTTGGTTTTAATTATTATTTATTACAGAGTCTAAGTAATATTATCACTGTTTAGCTACCTCTTGAAGAACGTTTTAGCCGTGTTTATTCAAACTGGTCAAATTTAAACAAAGATATTTTGGGCAAAAAATATAATGATTTGATTATTTCAGTGAGAAACTACCCTGACATGGACTGTATCTTTGAAGTGCCTAGAAATTATGTTTTGGGGGATTTTTACTTATACAAATAAAGTTTTATTGAACTAAATAACCATTGCCTCTCGTGGTAATTGTAGCACATCAACAAAAGGATTAACTAAAATATACTTGGAACACGGCTCAGAAACGGCAATAGAAACTCTGAAGGGAGTTTGTTTCCAAACGGAATGTGAAAAATAACTCTTGCTTTACAGCTTTAAAAAAACAACAACCAGAGATTCTTCTACACATTCTTACCTGTTATTGCAAATAATCCAAACTTTCCAACTTTCAGATGCTTCTCATGCAGGAATTCCAGTTTTTCAAACATATATCAAAATAAAGTGAAAGGGCAGCTTTAAGCCTGCATATTAAATTCAACACATTCCGAAAAACGTACACTCTTAAACCTTTGACCGTTTGAGGAACACACGGCTCTCAAGTCATATGCTGATCAGACTCACAGGAAAGGTCAAAGTGCTGCAGAAAAGATAGTCCTGCTGAAATCACTGACAGCGGGTAAAAAAATTAAGGAAGTATCGTTCTGTTCTCAACAACTTCAACACGTGCATCAAAACTGTTCCTGCCTCGATTTCACCAAACAGGAAGTCTGAATACTACTAGCCAGCTGGAAAACCAATGAATTCACGCAATACAGAATAAAATGATGAGTCAGTTCCGAGAGTTTCAGATCTCCAGACGATTTGATAAAGAAGTCTACAGAACGGGATTTAAGTAAAGTATTACCAACGTCAAATGATTTGATGACTCGATGATGACTAGATTATTTAAAAACACATTTTATCTGTATTATATTGAAATGTCTTTCAATCAAAATATTTACTTTGGAGTGTGGCATGTATATTAAAATAAAGAGACAATTACGGATAATAGATTAAGGAGGGCTTTCCAATAAAACCGTAGCTATATCTTTCGCAACAGACATGTGATCAATATTAACAAAAAATATGGGCGATAGAATATTTGATCATTTCACTAAACTTTGATCTGGAACTGCAAACCCTTCTGGGTATTATCCTCTAAACCTCTCTTGGCCCAGCTAAGCAAGATTGGTGGCATCAACTAACTCACTCTTTGAAATTATAGGAACAACCTATTGTGTAACATGCACAGTAGCCCTTTCATGTTTCCCCCCCCATGACTCATAACTGTTAAAAAAATAGAAAAGAGCAGCACGGAGTGAAAGGACAACAACTGGAGAGGAAATTATGGATAAAAGAGGAATGGTCAAGTATCTAGTTTGGCATTACTTTGGATGTTTTAGTCCGATGAATATCAGACCAATTTTGTTATGGACTCATATTTTCACCTGGTGATAGTCGTTTAAATTCATACATTTACAACTACAAAACTGCTGTCACTTAACCAAACATCCAACGATTTATAGCATATATATTCTTACTTCTGATTATATCGATTAAAGAAAAACTTACTGCAATGGAAAACTTAACGTCTTATAAAATAGAATAGATACATCCAGGGGGCACAGGAAGACATTTCCAAAGTTGAACCACCCAACTGAATCAATGCATCTTTGAAAGTGAGATTGCTGCAGCTTTTGTTCAAAAACAAACTGAAAGAGGCCCCAAGATGCAATGGGCATAGCTAATGAAAGCAAGAAAAGAGCTTCAGCAAAAACATCTTCAAAGAATTTAGGGAAGTGAGAAAGACCAGTCAGAAAAGCAGAGCATTTCCTTTTTTGCAAACTTATGATGCACAAAATGTAACTGAAACTTCACACTATTCTAAAACCGCCCAAGAAAAGACTGGAAAAGACTTGCGAAAGTAAAAGAAAATATCACCTTTAATTTGCAAGTGTGAAATTAAACTTGAGTGGACAACAAATTTTGTAATCATCTGAGTAATAACTACTCTAAATAGTTTAAATTATAATCTGGTTCTGTCATCTTCCAGACTGATAAGAACAAACTCTTTGGGCCAAACAATACTCACCATAATCCTCTTAAGGGAGAGACATTTCTGACAGCACTAAAAACAAGGCCTGTAAACCAAAGTTTACTGTAACTCACTCATTCTGAGATGGAAAGGCCTTTCTCTTTACACATTATGTGAATCTCAGATTTTGTCCAATCAACTATGCCCACAATATGCACATAAAAAAAAGGAATCCCTAAGAATGTTTGTAATTTGAATTCAAATGACACACAGAAGGTGACTGACCTTATATATAATTCATGTTGTTCATATTGTGTTACAATAATGTTCATTTCAATTTAAGAAACAGCAACTTCACTCATTTCTCTAGCTAAAATGTGTAAATATACATTTTGTGCCCACCTAGTCACATCAGTGAAGCAAACAGTTGGACAGAGCTTTAAACATTAACAACTAAATCTATTATCAAAACTCATGACAGATGATTAACTATAAATTATGGATGTACATCTCCAAATCACACTGAAGCTAGTTGCCATACTGAAGCTTGTTAGACTTTCTGTCTCAACAGCAACAAGTACTGACAAGTGAATCTTTTGATCTGATTGTCTCTTGTCTCATAACTCACTCACTTATACAAAGAAGTTACTAGTTATTTGGCATTCATTTAATAAGCATACAGCCCATGCTCCAGTAAAGAAGAAGTAAGAAGTAAGCCACTGGGGTGTTAAGAGAGCTGCTAATTTAAACAATGAATTCAGATCCATTTCAGATTATATCATTCTGCTTGCATGCTGGAATAGTTTAAAGAACAATTGACTTCCACCAACTCTGGCCTAATAATGCCTCTGTTAAATTTGGAAAAACCTTCACATCCATTCATCAACCAGGAGTTTCCTTGCCCTCTAGCGGTCAACCGGTCCAGTTAGCACTACTTCCAGGAGCTTTAAGGTTTAGACTCAAATGGGGTCCATCGTCCAGAACATCAGTGGGTGCAGAGTTACTGTAATTAGCAAGTTTTTTACGTAGTTTGAGACCGTCTCACATCGCACTGTGCAATTTGATTACTTTACTTAGACGTGTCATGCTCCCTTCTCCCCAAAACATTTCGCTCTAAAAACAGACCGACGCGTTAGCCGATCAAGTCCACATTCCTTTTATAGCCCGCTTGTGTGTTGCGAACTGAAATGGGGCTCCAGCATCAAATTCAACAGAAATGACCTAACAGACAAGATAAACATACGCCTAGATGTGGATATTTAATCAACATCGCCAACTGAAATCATTAGAATTATACCGTCAGTTTTAAGGCGTTTTGTGTTAGTGCTACAGATAACCAAGAGCGTTAGCCACATCAGTGACAAACTGTTATAAAAACACATAATGCAGCAGGCCATGTATACAAGTTTAGCATTAGCCATGCCTCGTACTTAACTCTAACGTTACACAATCCACTTCGATAGAGCGTCAAAGCTTAGTCGTTTAGTGCGTCCACACCAGTAATTAGACAGAGCCCGAAAACATCAACATCCTTTACCTTGATTCGTCTTCAGAAAGGCACAGCGAACGTCTCCTGCTTCCCATGCACGAAATTGTTGTCCTGCTATTTTGAGAAAAGAATAGACTGTCCTACAGATAGTTTGTGTGCACAGATATTAGCCAAGACGTCCTAGCTAGTCTTGTTCTTGAGAGCTAGCCAGCGTTAAGTTAGCTTGTTTCTATTGACTCCCTAGTCCAGCCCATGCAGCCGTAATACGTGTACACAAATGTCTGCGAACCTCCGGCGACTGTGGCGGCCTTATTGTTTACATTGTACAGAGTATTCGCTAACCTGAAGCCACATTGCCATCGAGTGTTCAGAATAAATAACTGCACCTCAAAGGGAATTAGAAGTCTTAGCCTCTCGTCCAGTAAAACCAAGCAGTTTCCTGTTACGTGGGACGTAATGACCAAAAATATCTATTATCCATTGGCAGCAAAGGTGAAAGTATAGATGTAGTGTATATGTATTTAATGCTTAAATTATTAGTAACGTTAAATGTAAGTTTGTTGGAAAACTTGTACTATCAAGCATATAATATCATTTTCCATTATTTCCTTTTCACAAATGTCCATGTACAAAACTGTGGCCCATCTTGCTAGTTATGTTTTATGGAAAATTTTATTTGAAAACATGAACAATGATTGAAACCAGTTTCCAGGGACCACAATGCAGAATTTGTTATAAAGAGCATGTGAATTTATTCAGATTTTTTGTGACATATCATCTCAGAGTTTAAAACTTTCCTTTCTTCATTTGGCAAAACTGTGCCAACATATTATGAATGTAACTCAAAACAGATTTATGTAGCACTCAATCTTGATGTATAACAACTGAGTATCAGGACATCAAAACATCTTACCTTAAGTTCATTGCTGGGAGAAACTTAAACAAAAGTCCCTTTTAGAGAAAAGTTGACGTTTCAGCCTGTAGAGTCTGTGGGAGTTCTTTCATTTAAGATATGTTGTCTTTATCATAAGTACAAAAAAATACACAAAATCACACCAGACTATTTTTTGTTGACTGGCGTTACTGAAAACCTAATGACTTAATTCAATATGTAGCCAACATAAACAGCTGAAATATCCATATCATGTAACGTTGAAGTGCCGTAACAGCAGTTTGATTAAGTCAGGTTTCACTGTTGACTAAAAAACGTCAATAGAAACAAAATGTGGCTATGCTAAGTGCGTAAATTCACATACCAAGAAGTCACAAAACCTACTATTCAGGTTTTGCATGACACATGTCTATTGTTGGCTGGCTAGACACTCCTCTGCTCCTGGAAGGAACTGAAAAGCATCTGATGTAGGAAACGCCACAGCGATGAAAAGCATCTAAATCTGGTACATGTAACACAATGGTCACATCACAGAGTGTCATGTGGTGAAGTTCAACACTTCACAATCTTACAAGGTAATTAGCTAAGTTTCCCAGGCTCACTGAGGTTCTGAGTGTTTTTTATGCACGATTGCTTTATTAAAAACAGGACTGGAAATGAGAATGAAGTAAATAGTGGACAATATAAATTGTATTTCTGTTTATAGGTTGAATTAAATCTGTAAATCTTGCCTTGGTTCACTGAAAAGATAAAAATGATTGTGATAAAAATGCAAAAGATGCTAATTTAAACAAGTCAGCAGATTTGTATAGGAAACATCCGAAGATGATACATGGATTTCTACTGGGGATAAAAGTGTCAAAACTTAAACTCAAACACATCTGATTCAAAGTAAAATGGAGTTTAACCTAAATCTAAAATGTCCAGTACGGAGAAGGTTGAAAGTCAAGAGCACCAGACATATAAAATTGCATATTCCTGTGTCTGTGTGTGTGTGTGAGCGTGTGTGTGTGTGACAGCACACATATCAGTTGGAACAGCTCCTGTAATCTCTCTGTTAGCTATACTGCCATGAACATTCAGTCAGTTTGGCTGAAAGATGGTTCAAATCTCTGGAACAAGAAGGCTTTGCTGATTATAACAGTGTTTCCTTTGTCTCGCTGAGAAAACGATTGAGGAAATTGGAGCAAGTTTAACAGAGCTGTCCTCAGGATGTAAGGGTAAAGCTTTCTCCTGGGTTGAAATGCTTTCTATTGGACAGTCAGAAGGTGTCCCTCTGATTTTGCATTTTCTCTGCATTTCTCTACTCGTTCAGTTGGAATCTGCCCTTTGCGCTCCAAAATTCCATCCCATAAGAATCCATCAGAAATTACTTTAAAAATGTAATGTTTTATTAAACTTTTTAAAGCTTTTATAACACATGAAAGTATGTTAGTGTCATATTAAAAGTTGAATGGCTGAAAAGTATGTTGAAGTAATAAGCTTTGAAAGAGTTTATATTTTTTAAGAAGTTGAAGGATTCTCTATTAATTTCAATCAGAGCAAAAAATTTAAAAAGTTTAATGTTTTGTCAAAAGGATTTTTACAAAAAGATATATAGCATAAATGTCCTGAACTAGCCCCACATTTGAATACTTTCCTTGCTGAAGTCGGCAAAAGTATATTGAAAAAGTGCACCTTTGGAAAAGGTATGGAATATATGATAACAAAGGGTTTTTTCTTTAAAGAATACACAGGATTAAACAGGAATTTAAGGCGTAACAGCAAAGCAAAGCTGTTAAGCCTTAAATATTTCGCTCCAGCTCGGTAGAGGGCAGAGTAGTAAATAATGCTCTGCGTGGCATGTCTAGGTCCCATCCTGCCCCACGGTACTTAGTGAGCATGCGCATGTCAATCTTCCTTTTTCCCGTGCAGCGGAGTCAAGCCTCAGTCTTTGACTCCGGGCTCCTTCTAAAGGAGACGAAAAGACTGCAAAATGGTTTGTTATTCACTCTCATATGTGTCTAAATGCATACCAAAAACATACATTTTGGCCTGCATGGTAAAATTCGGGAGAAAACATGATGATTATGTGCGGATGAAGAGAGATTTAGTCCTGCTAACGGCTACCCGGGTCTTCTCAAACGTGGCCTACTCATTGCTTCTGTAGGGTTCTTCCCTACTGGTATTCACAAATTTCACCACATTTGTAATTTTAAGAATGATCCATCAGTTCATACTTAACACCTTGTCCACTAAACCTCCAGCTGAAGTAATGTGTGTAACTTATTTCCAAAGTCTGCTTAGCCTGAGTGCTACCTCTTCTCGTCCATTTTCACTAGCGACGCATGCTAATGTTATCAAGTGGGACATTTTGACACTGACTATTCACCTGTCACGCACACGGCAATATAAAGAGTTGTTGTCAGTAGTTTCTCGCTAACCTGGTACTTCTCTTTAAAGGGTTTTGTCAAAGTGGTTAAGAACAAGGCCTACTTCAAGAGGTACCAGGTCAAATTCAGGAGGAGGAGAGGTAAATCACCCGTCTTCAATGCTTGACTTGCATTTCATTGTTTTGGTATGACCCATTCATTAAGTTGTTTGTATTCCATCCAGAGGGAAAGACTGACTACTTTGCCCGTAAACGCCTGGTTGTTCAAGATAAGAACAAGTACAACACACCCAAGTACCGCATGATTGTGCGTTTCTCCAACAGGGACATCATCTGCCAGGTAAGCAATGGACAAAGTGCAAATGTATCTTTTTAGAACTTAAGACATCGTCCTGATATTAGAATTAGGGTTTGGTTTTTCTGAAGAGGTAATAAGAGAGCTTTTGACTTTGATTTGTACATTTTTTTGTAATACAAATCAAATTACACATGAAAAGATATTATAAATCCAATTCACATGGTAAAATCCCTACCTTATTGGTCATCCATGGGCTATTGTAATAGTGTAATATGATGATCCACAGTGTTTGATGTTTTTGCAGTTCTTGCCTGCGGGGATATTGCGCTTTAAACCTGCCCATGTATGTTTCTCGCAGATCGCCTATGCAAAGATTGAGGGTGACATGATCGTGTGTGCTGCTTACTCACACGAGCTGCCAAAATATGGGATATCTGTGGGCTTGACAAACTACGCAGCATCTTACTGCACTGGTCTGCTGTTGGCCCGCAGAGTATGTATACACCTGCTCATTCTTCCTGATATCAAAATAAGGGTTTGATTTTATGTAAAGATACTAAGGTGAGAGGATTTGACTGAGATTTGTGAAATGTATTTTTGTTTTTCTTTTTTTTATCCTAAGCTATTGAACAAGTTTGGTCTGGATAAGGTGTATGAAGGCCAGGTGGAGGTGACGGGTGACGAGTTCAATGTCGAGAGCATTGATGGTCAGCCAGGCGCTTTCACCTGCTACCTGGATGCTGGACTTGCAAGAACCACCACAGGCAACAAGGTGTTTGGTGCTCTGAAGGGTGCTGTGGATGGAGGCCTGTCTATCCCACACAGGTAGTCTAACAGATATCTCAGTAACAGCTCTGCTTGGATTTGATTGAATGGTTATTAACAAACTTTATCTAGAAGAAAATGAAAGACATTTGATGGTTTCATCTTCATTGATCCCATAAAATCCTGTATGGCCCACTAAATAGTTATAAATTTAGCACCTACTCAATTGGGGTTCCGTCGCGGCTGTGGAGGCCCGATGGCAGGCCACGTCCCATTTTAAAAACGCTGCGACACGTCCGATTTCATACGTAAAATTTTTTTTTTTTAAATGTAAACACTGTAGATGCCTAATACACAAACCAATGCTGAGGTTTAGACGGTAAGTGGTTGCTGCTTTCTGCTTTATTGTTGCGTCGTGCTTGTGCCAAGTATAAATGGCATTACTACATATAGAGCTTTCATGGGCTGAACTCTGTGGGGCTGAGTTGGTAATAATGGGAAAATTCAAGCGCAAATGGATATAAAGCCCTTTTAACAAATATGAATATTTCATTGCTGGTGTTTTTAGAATGATTACCTTATGGTTAAAAAAAACTACATGTTTATTTTAAAAAATGCTTTGAAGGTTCACTTGTCATGCACTTGTTCTTGTGTGAGGCTTAAGTTTGATTGTCATAATGATGTGGTCTTTCTTAAGATTACATCAATTGAAGTTTGAAACTGTGGCTTTATTCTAAAAGGTTTATGGACCAAACTTTAAAAGTATGGTTTTAAAAGCTGCAGAATTAACACTGTGTGCCATTATGCACAACACAGTTCTGGACCTCTGGCAGACCAACCTGTATTTCAGAATGTTGCATGGCCCTGTTTTTTTGTTTTTTTTAATAATCATGTTCATATGATTAGTTCTAATGGTGTCTTAATTCCATGGGCCAAGAGGTGTTGCAGTGAAGTGTGGGAGCTTTTGTTGTCATACCATAAGTATCTTTCATGGAGGGAAATTTGGAAATTGTTTATATAAATGCCAATGTAAAAAATGATTTCTGTATTTGAGCTTTGTAGCTCTGCATTGTTTTAGGCTTTGCTCTGTTGGTTACATGGGACTCTTAAGCTACCTTCACACTGCAGCCTCGAGTGAAACGTCATTGTGACCTAAATGTGGTTATCAATGCAGACACTTGTGTGTTCGTTTATAGTTCACACAGGACAATTACATCTGAGTTACTTTTATTTGGAAATGTGAACGATCACATGGACAAAAAAACTTTTCCAAAAGATTTCAGGTTAACTGTAATACGTCTTAGAAATGCCTGTGAGATTATAAGGATATCTAAAGTGATTGCAGACTGTGAATGCTATATGGTATGGCAGGGTTGTGAGAACTGTTATGCTTTAGGGTTTCAAAAAGTAATTGTAAAAGCAGCGTTATCTTGCACAGAAGGACAGTTGTATCTGGATGAAGGAGAAATGAGAATGTCCCCTGGAAGGGATGCCTCATCTTTGCTGAGCATCCTTCATTATTAGCATAGTGTAGTATTTTTCTTTATTAAATATTAAAAAGGTTCCCGATAAGAAGATATGTATAAATAGCAGTTTAATTGTTCTGGAAATTGTTTGGGTAGTAGAGTTCCATGATATATAGATAAAGTCCAGAGTCCTTATGAACATTTTGTGTAAATATTTATTACAGGATATGAGCCATTATTGTAAAAAAAAAAAAAAAGGGTTTTTTTTTTTTTTTTTAAATTTGACTTCACTTATTTTTATCTACAAAGACTCCTGACTATAGTGTCCTACCATTACCTTTAGATGAAGAGACTATTGTTTAGGAGGGCTGGAAGTGCCCTGCGGTACTGGGAGCTAATATGCAGAATTTGAAACGTAAGACGCAGTGAGAGTTTGGAATATTTTGAACACTGCGGGTGCATTATTCGGATAAATGCATACCTAATTCAGAGTATCCATTCCAGCATCATTTAGTCTTTATGCATTTGTGCTTAACAAGTTTGACATGTTAAATATTGTAGTCAGGTTAGCAAAGCACTCTTTATACACATCAAGTTCAGGTTACACAGGGGATTAAGTTGTGGATATTGTGGGAATGTTAAAGGATTTGTCACTTGTCAGGGAACATTGACATGACAGTTGCCACCAAAGTTGCTTTTAATTTAATTTTGATGTAGCTTTCTTTTTCTGCCCACTGTAGCACCAAGCGCTTCCCTGGGTATGATACCGAGAGCAAGGAGTTTAATGCTGAGGTCCACCGCAAGCACATCATGGGCATCAATGTGTCCGAGTACATGAGCTATCTTATGGAGGAGGATGAGGACGCCTACAAAAAGCAGTTCTCCCGTTTCATCAAGAACGGAGTCACCCCAGATATGGCAAGTATTTTTGTGGATTATTTGATTACCTCTCTGGTCTGTCCAACATTATATAGAAACAGCCATCACGGCAATTGTGATTGACTTCAAATATAAACATGTTGTAGCTGTTTTATTTCCTGTGTCCAAAAAAGATATGTATCCATGAGGTGTAAATAAGTTAAATCAGCTACTCAGGCAAGTTGTTACTAGCACAGCTTTAACCTAGTCTGTGAATAGAAAATATGACAAGAGTAAGACAGTTGTATTGCATTTTTTCTCACACCATTCAGTTTGGATTAAATTGGTCCTGAAAAGTCAATTGCAGGAAGATGAATGTTGATTAGAAATATCGATCACAATACATGAACTATGTCAAAGTACTATTATTATATTGATATTTTATGGGTCTTGGTCCTTTTCAGATCGAGGAAATGTACAAAAAGGCTCATGCTGCTATACGTGAGAATCCTGTTCATGAGAAGAAGCCTGCCAAAGAAGTTAAGAAGAAGAGGTAAGGGTCGTTTTTCTCGCCAATATTGCTGGTAGTCATTCTTAGGCCGTGTTGAATGGTGTCAAATATTAAATTAGTGTTTTGGATTATTTGGTAGGAAGTTGGTGATTTCTAACCTTTCCCTGTTTGAAAAAGTCAGTTTTCCTCTCGTCTTTGCATGTAGTTGCTAAAGAAAATGCTTATTGTGCATTTGTTATACAGGTGGAACCGTGCCAAGCTCTCTCTGGCTCAGAGGAAAGACCGTGTCGCCCAGAAGAAGGCAAGCTTCCTTCGGGCTCAGGAACAGGAAGATGCTGACTGAGTGTCTCTGCTCAGTTCCAATGCAGAAATTTGTTCTAATAAATATGGAAAAGAAATTGAGGCTATGGTGTGCTGTTTATCAACATTCCTTTCCCAAAAAATTATTTGTATAAGAATATGATAGTTTTTAGAGGTGGTCTCATACTATTATGTACAATAAAGTCGTTGGCACTCGTTAGCAGTTTACGATATATTATACGAGTGACCATGAGTCATAAATTGTATTTTATTTCCTTCAATCTTCATTATACCTAGTATACTAAGAAATTCATCGTTAAGTGACATTTTAAGAACTGCCACAAAATGCGTTTATATACTTAAAGTGGTATTTCCCCTAAAAAAACATTTATTTTAAAGATAATATTAAATGGGGATAAAATAAATGCAGTTCTAGTTTTAGGAGTCCTTGGTGTGAGATATTTTCTTCCACAACAACGTTTTTATATTGTTGAGTACAAGTGAGTGCTCAATTTCCATGTGCTCTGCCGAACCTTTCAGTGCAATACAGGCATACAGCTGCTTCTTAAGATCCTCCCTGATGTCGGATGGAGCACCCCTCAGAATGTAATCCTGAAGAGTTTCACAAGCTTTTGCCAAGTTTGGCCTCGTGACCTCAGGTGTGCAACGATGCTTGGTGAGGTCACAGGAAGTGAGACAGTCCGTGCCGTAGAGACAATCCTCATCCACGTCGCAGTGCTGCTGCCTAATTCCATCCTGGAAGGTAGCTTCGGGAACAATGAACTGCGCGTTCGTTACCTTAAAGTCGTGGCGGTCATTATAGCCAAAAGTAGCCGTGCTCATTTCACACATGAGGAAGCTACCAAACGTCCCATGAAAAACATCCTCTACCAGTTCCAACAAGCCAATGGAGATCTTGGCCTTATGTGGCCATGAGGGGGTGAACCACTGGTCCATTCGATGACGGAGGCTGGCAGGAATCCACATCTCGATGATCCAGGGGAGATTAATCCCGTACAAGGGAGAGTATGGCACCTTCTCTATCACATACAGGTCTCCACAGAAGCCCAGCAACTTGGGTGTGTGCCCTCTGTCTTGCAGGACCAGTGCTAACAGGAATTCATTCAGCTGCAGAAGGGCCCAAGTGGAGCGAGCCTCTGGTAATGAGATATGGCCATCCTTGTTGGCATCTGCAATAGATAAGACTTGAGTTGCCAGATCTACGAGGTTTACCTGATCTCCAACTTTAGCCTGTGAAGAAATGTTATTAGAAGTTTTTTATTCAAAAGTAATATTTGGGATTAGACCAATGTGGATTTGAACAAAGTGTGTCTGACCTCTAGGTGGTTGATTATCATCCCTCTGAACTTTTCTACTGAGGTACCCTTGGTGGGCTGATTGAAAGCTGAAGCCCACTTTTTGGGCTCCATTTCAGTTCCCAAATCATAGCGAGGGGCAGGATCCGCCATTTGGCACTTAATGACTCCCTCTAAGTCTCCCCAGTTCCCTGAATACACCTGAAATTAAAAAGCAGAGTAGAGTTGAAAAAAGTGCGGAAAGGAGGGTTTTTATTTTCATTTTCTAGCTTACCTGGCTGTTGGGTTTGGCAGTGAGGCACGTTCCCAGGTAAAGTGTGTTTTTCTCACACAGGCTGCTGCAGACTGCGCCATCAATGACTCCTTTCCGGTATTTGTCACACTGGAAAAAAAAAAAGAATACACATCACCAAAGGGACGGGAACAAAAGCATAGTTGTATATTACTGGAAGGGGTAAAAAAACTCACTATTGAATTTTTGCAGTCATGTCCTCGACACAGCTCTGTGTAAGATGAGTACTCAACGTACACTATCCAGCTTCCCACAAACACTGCCAGCCAGGAGAAGAACAGGTACTTCATGTGCAGGTAGGAAAATCTGGCCTGTTGGCAGCACATTCCAAAGATTTCAGGCATGTAAATTAAAACTGACAATGATTAAATTAATTATGTGACCAAAAAAATCCCCAGTTAGCTAATCTAGAGCAGGGTCAAATAAAATGTGAAAAGTGCAAAAAAAACATGGAGAATGTAAAAACATAAGGATGGAAAGGTCAAAATAGTATGCCTGCGAAATTATGACTTTAATGGTATTATGACTACAGTTTAAAGTCCAGGTCATCTTTGACATTTTGGACACATTTCTCCTCACAAGTACATTTATTTATTATTTTATTATTATTTTTATGTAGGTCACAAGATGATTGTAAAACAGCTTTTAAACATATCATCACAATCCTAAAGGGTTACATTTGACGAAAGCTGACGAAATAAATCCACAGGAAGGAGACTGAAATTGCTTTCCGAAAACAAGGACTATAGTTTATAAAATGTAAACACTTTATCAAAATATCCCTTTTTGACAGTTTTTAGTTAAGTAGTAGTTTAGTCAGTAGGAGTGACTGCTTTTACTGGCATAGGAACATGAAACCTTAGATGAGAGACAACAGTGAAAAAAACACAATAAAACCCCTTCAATTCCAAGTTTATTTGTACAATTCCAAGTTTCCTTCTGTGTTCTATTTATTCTTTGTATTATTTCTTATAAACTGAGCAAACAACAACTAAAAGAACATCGTAAATGCTTGTGTTCAGACCGGTAAAATGCTATTAAAACACAGTACTTTTTATTTGCCATATTTTTTTTCTTTTAAAGCTTCTTTTTAATACTTTATTGAACAGTTTATTTAATTCCGTTTTCTGATCAGTTATATATCAAAATTAATTATCAAATCATACTGTGCATTATGCACTTGATTCATTTGCCTCATATTCAGCACTTATTTTCATTTTTCACAGCAAAATAGCAGCTCAAAGCAGCTCAGTACAGTATTTCTTTAAAGTATGTATATTTCCAGAAGCACCTTCTGACATACTGAGGTGAGTGATAAATTGTTCCTTGTTGGTGCATAACATTATTACCAATATTTCATAATCAACAGCAGCGCATATTTATTCACAATAAAATATGATAGCCCTTATCTGTTTTTCCTGAACCAAATATTTATTTGACAACAACGAAAGGGCAGTGAATTAAACGTTTTTTAACCCCTAGTATTAATAACCTAGTATTAATATTTTATTAATTAATAAAATAATCAATCTGTAAAAAATAATTAAAAGATTGATAGGTCTGAAGCAGCAGTAACTATATACAATATAAAAAGATTTTAAGTGCCTCGAGTCAAACTAAACGGGACATATTTGGGGTTTTAAACACAATTCTAATATACAATTTAATCAACCATATTGTCTTTATTTGAATAAAAAAAAAACTGAGATAACATATATGTTTAATTAGTACACTATTAACAATAAAAGCCTGACTATTTAGTTATTTTTTTTATCACAATGTAATAATTGGTGTTGAAAATCGACTGCCTTATGACATATCTAGCTCCACTCTTGCGTCTTGTTTTTTTTATTTTTTTTGCAGCTCCTCCTTCTGGCTTTCCCGTATAAATTTGCATGTTCAATGCACAAGATGAAACAGCATCACATGGCAGCCCAGATTTTGATGCCATACACAGCTGGTTTTGAGGGTATATACAGTACTGCAGGAAAGGGCCGTGGCCTCTAAACCCGAAAGCTGTTTGTCCACAGTTACATTAGGCCCAGGGTTGTAAAGCCAGTCCACCCACACAGTGTGGATTGCTTCCAACGTGTCCCCCCATGGACTAACAGGTTGTCAAATCTGATCATCCTTGAGAACACATGGAAACTTTTCAGAGATAATGTGACTCTAAAAATTGCTCTCCCTGTCTCAGCATCCTATAGACTTTCAGTCAGCTCCACTCTTTACTTATAGACACCAGCAAGGATGAAAATGCCAATGTAAGCGTGCAGATGCATGATCTTTTTCTACTGGTCACCAAAAACACGTTGCCCCTCAAGATTGGTTATATCCAGAAACGATATCTGAATTGAGTCAAGAGTCAGCAGCTCAAAGAATGATTTCACATCCTGAGCACATTTATGTGTGTGTGTGTGGGCATGTTTCTGTGTGTCACTGTGTATGTGGGTCAAATTGACCCGAAGATCATGTGAAAGATGTAAATGTGTGGGGGTATAGTTGCTTGTGTCCTAAATTGTTTTTTTTGTTTGTTTTTTGTTTGTTTTTTGTTTGTTTTTTGTTTGTTTTTTGTTTGTACATGTTTGTCATAGAAAATAAGCCAAGGCCATGGAGTTTAGGTAGAAACTATGTATACACGTACCCTTTTTCTTGTATCAAATTTCAAACAGGGGGCTGCACGGTGGTGTGGTGGTTAGCACCGTTGCCTCACGGCAAGAATGTTCTGTGTTCGAGACCCAGGATTGTTCTGTGTGGAGTTTGCATCTTCTCCCTGTGTGCGTGGGTTCTGTCCGTGTTCTCCGGCTTCCTCCCACAGTCCAAAAACCTGTATGTTAAGTTGACTGGACATTCCAAATTGCCCTTAGGAGTGAATGTGAGTGTGGGTGGTTGTTTGTCCTTGTGTGTGTGTGTGGCCCTGCGATGGACTGGCGGGTTGTACCCCGCCAAGAGGGTTTCCTGTTTGATCCCAGAGGACCTTTTTGTGTGAAATTTGTACGTTCTCCCTGTGTCTGCGTGGGTTCTCTCTTGGTACTCCTGCTTCCTCCCATGATTAAAAAAAAAAGTGTGACATTTTGAATCTCCAAATGGCAAAATCAGCCAAATGATTACGTTAATTTAAGTTTAGTATATTTATCTGTTAATGTCGTATTACCATCAGTATATACACAAAATGGTCCTGTTCATGGTCCAGGACAATCTATATAACATTTGGTACATGAATTTGACTTCTGCTTTGTCTATTGTGGAACCAGGGAACTTTCTTTTTGGATTAGTGTAGATGGAATATATATTCAACTATATTCAACACTGAAGGTTCAGTTGAAATTACACACAAACAAACATGAAAATACTGTAGTGTTTATAGAGCGCCATCTACAAACCACTGAGGAATACAGAAGATTAAAAGGGATTACGAGCAACAAATTATGGTTTTGACACTTGGTTTTTGCAGCGTACACACTACCCATCAATTATGTATGATTATTAAACTATTCCTCAGAGGATACAGTTTAATTACCTTCTATATGGAGCAAAGATATGAAAGCAGAGAAACACAAGGTTGAGAAGTAATTTATAAGTTATTAATCTCATCTGATAGACATTAAGACTGCTCCATGTTGTGAGTGTACAAAGTGGAGAAACAGAAGAAAATAATTTAATATCGAGTGTCTTATTACAAATGATGGGAAAATGCTTAATTCAAAGTATTACAGTGGAAATAGAAATAGAACTTGTAAATTCAGCAGAAAATGTATGTATTATATACAAATCAAAACTTATAAAGCTAATAATGGTAAATATGCTTAAATGCTCAATTTATTTAGAAATAGTCTCAAAACAACTCCTCTGAGTGAATTAAATCAGAACTTACATTTTAAATATTTTAAAACAGAACTGAATCTAAATACCCAGTATAGAGGGGTTTTTTTGTGTTTCATTGGAAATATGAAAATAGCCTCTCTCCAATGACTTCTCTTTGGCTGTCACGGGGAGGCTGGAGTGGCCTAGAAAATTAAGCGACGCTTGTAGCTTTCCCCAGGGACAAGCTGTCTCTTCCTCTTTTTTGCTGCACAGAAAAAACTTGAAGCAGCAGCTAAGATGAAACTGCTTTGAATCAAAAAGCATCAGCCAATGTCCTCAATTTAAAGAAATCCTCAATTGTCTGGAAGAAGAGCAAAAGGGTTCAAAGCCAAAGATTCCCTCCGTTCAGGTTTACTAATGAAGAAAACCACCACAAAAATCTCCTAATGTCACCCACATCAAACTATTCCATAACATTCAACACACATGAGTTTCCCAGATTAACAAAATCATAACTGTTGTATATACAAATTATATCTGGAACATGCTTTTACAGAATCAGGCTCAAAAGCAACCAAAACAATCGATAAAGTGAACGATGTATACAACTTAAGGACATGATTCTTTTTGCAGTATTACAAATAGGCTCTTTTAAATGACTCACAAGCTAGATGCAACATGGAAGCAGTTGCTACAGCAACCAGGATCAGGATGATGGCTCACTCTCATACAGCGTCAAGTGACTTTGTGAGTCATCCTCGGAAACCTTTGGAATAACAGTTAATTGCAACCAAATCCCGAGCAATAAGATAAGGAGAAAGAAAAAAATACAAGCAAAGAAATAAAAAACAATATGCAACAGTGATCAGCCAAACTATCGCTTATTTCGCCGACCCGTATCACAGCCCAGTGTATACGCAAACAGAGGCTTTATAGACACAGTGGATATTGCCTGACACCTGAGTGAAGAGGGTTTCCCCTAAGATTTACCTGGAGGTACAGAGGCTTCCTGAAGAGCCCCCACGGAAGCCGACGTCTCGCCATGGCAGATGCAGAACATCTCATAACAGCGTCTGACGGATCGAGCTCGGCTGCACATTCGTATCAGGACACTTCAACTGCGCACACGGTGAAAAAAACATAGATGAAAATGACTGATACCGTCAGCAACAATGTAGATGTGGGTTTGGACACAGCAGACGGAGCTGCGTTGCAAGCCGCAACGAAATCAGCCTCATGTGGAGAAAAAGGAAATAACCTCAGGTGGGCGTCTTGCACCAGGGCGGCTGTCGTGTGATATTTTCCGCATTTTTATTGAAAAACTTAATGATTTTGGTTGTTGTTCTTTTTATAGGTGAGTATGGCGACACGCACATTGGTCAAGGGGTTCAGTGATCAATATGACTTAAAGAACCCGCATAATTTGCACAACACCTCCAAGAGGATGATGTCCCAATCGATTCACAGCTTAGAACTTAAAAGGTGAACATCTTAAAGGTCCGAGAAAAAGTCCAGCTTCCGTTATTAAAATATTAAGGGTACACATTGTTTTTGCTTTTGCCTGTCTCAAATGTTGCTCAATTTTAGACAGCTTTCTGCATTGCATTTTTGACACAAATTTCTCAGTGGATTTGATTATTGTTCTTAACTGCCTAATAACTACAAGAACTTTGGCATTAAATGTTTATTTTTTTTTATTTTAATTTTGAAACAGAAAACAGGACTATATCTATAGTGTATTGCTTGTAGCTGAATATGGTGAAAGTCTATACAGAAAATACAATGTAATTATATTCCTGAAGAACTGCTGCTGTAATCATACACCTTCCTTTCAAAGACCATTTTTCAAGCCTTGGATTTGTCATTTAATTTTTTGGACTGTGAAACAATAAAAAAAGCAACTTTTGAGATGATTCTTATCACACATTAAAAAGTCATAACTTTGATGGCCATTGATGGATGTAAAAACCTTATTTAAAACCTTAAACTTCGATATAAGAGGCAAAGTTATAAGGGTGTTTTCATTCAAATTAGTATGAGGGTTGCCCAATGGTGGTCATTAGGACTTTTGCCTCAAAGCAAGAAGGTTCCGAGCAAGATCAGGGTCTTTTATGGGTGGAGATAACTAACTTTGGATTAGTGGTTGTATAACTTGTGATCTGAGTGCATTCATTCTCAAAAAGTTCAATGTTGACTGGCACATTAACTGTAAAGGTAGTGAGCTCAATTGTCCATGCAATTGTCTTGTTTGTCTTGATGTGGCCTTGGTACATGACATAGATCTTCTGCAGCATTGCTTTTGGACAAGCCATGCAGATAAAAGGTTTGTTTTCTAGCAGAGGTTGAGGATCGACAGGAAGAAGCTGTCAAATTATGTAGTGACTCATGTCATCTTTCTAGTGATGCAAACTTGGAATACTTAGCCTACATCTGCATCCCTTGTTTGGGTTTAATTCTAACGAAGCATAAGTAACATCATTGTCTTCATATAGATGGCAATGATATACCTATTTTTCAATGTGAAAAAAACCAAGCAGTAGAATTTATTTTTCCCAAAATGCTCTAAGTTGTTGAAGATTTAAACTATTATTGTGCTATCATTATCATTCTTCCCAACGGAGAACAGCTGTAACTCCTTGTGATTGTGTTTCTTTATAAAACAATTTTCCTAATAATCAAGCATTTGCTAGCGTACAACAAAGCTGTGATAGGGATAGCTGTGAATACTCAATAGTAGCAGAGACAACAGCAGAGCTAGTAACACCATTCAATGTAACTGCGGAGCATTTTCAACAAGGAGAGCAGTCAAAGAATAGACACATATTGGGTACTTCCTGCTATTCTGTCATGTGGAGTACCTTAAGGCAGAATTGCAAACAAACAGCAACCCTGTTGGTGCAAAGATAGAACCAGTAGCGTTGAGTACTGCAAAAATGGCCTGTGGCTCTATTTCAGTGCCAAATTTTAAGGATTGATTATTACATTATTACATAATATGTTGTAAGCCCCCCCTGAAAAATGCAAATTTTCAGATTGATTGATTCCCATAATTTCTTATCTAAATTGAAGGTACCATTCATTAAAAACTAATCGTCACATGGGTTCTGCTACCAGAGTGATGCAACAGTCAGGTTGTTAACACATACATAAGGCCCCCAAATTTGATGTTTATACTGTACATTGTGAAGTGAAAGAGAAATGTATGACATAAGTATAATTTGTAGATATGCTTTCAACATAATAAAGAAGTTCTGAAATAATTCTGTACTCAGATGTCCATTTTCTAGAAAAAGAGTAAAAGGACTTAGCAGCATTAGTTTTATTAGTCTTCCCCCTCATGGTGAGAGTATTGCAAATATAAAGCTAGGCCTTTCTCCCTTGTTTGTCAGTATTTAAGATGCAATATTAATATCTTTAGTGGAAAAAATATTTCGTCATTGTTAAATAACCAGAATGATTTTTATATTTTTCTCTCTGTAAATAAAAAGTAATAACACGTCTTAAAAAATCTGACGGCTAAAAACAAGCTATTTTGTTTTCTAAAAATTCCTAAAGAATATTTTTCAGCCGGTTACTCTGGACGACAGATGCTTTTACTATTGGTACAGATTGAATTAAAGATTAATTTAATCTCATGTATATTGCCTTGCTGCTCAGACCTTTAAATATATGTCAATAAATGTGCAACACAATCTTCTTTCTCTTTATAATAATATGGTCACAAAAGCTGTATATATGTATGTAACTACTAACAAACTGACATTTGAAAGACTGAATTTTACAAAGACATTAGTTTGTTATCAATTATGTTTTGTTGAACATAATTCTAGTATTATTGCAGACTGCGTGAGAGGGTGGCTCTGTGGTTAGCAATGTTGCCTCACAGCAAAAAGGGACTGGGGGTCTGTGGAGTCTGCTTGTCTGGGGTTGGCTCTGGTAACTTCAGTTTCCAAAAACTTAGCTCCTTAACCTAACGCTAACCCTTACATGGTTACAGATGTCAGCTGGGATAGGTATAAGCTGTACTGGGATCTTACTAGCAATAAACTAGCGATAAACTGCATAAGTTATAAATTACTTTATCGATGGGACAACTAAATCAAATTATTTTATCATCATGGTTTAGTCAGTGTTCAAGCCCACCCATGTTTATCGTCGGACCCTTTTCCAAGCATATTGATTTAATCTTGTTTAGAATATCCTCAAACTGTAAATGCCTAGCTGTTTTAGAGAAATAAGTTTTTTTCTATATGCAAAGGATCATTTAAGCATGATTTTTTACACTTACATAGATAACATCATTTAAAAGTGTAAATGTCTGGTCTGAGCAATTTAAAAGTCTTTTGAATGAACAGTTTTACAAGTAGACAAATGGAGTGGAAAAATTTAATGACGAGCCCTCATGTAACCATGAAACGGACAAAACTAATTATTACTAGCTTTTTCACATTGGCTAAGACATAAGTGTCACAGATAAAGAAATTAGGAATGACAACCCCATTCCAAACTATTAATCAGAATTGCTGACAAAAATAAAAGCAGTGTACAAAAGCACATTATAAGCTGTATTTGTCAAAACCATTACCTGTTTATATGGAATAGACTCTATCAAATTAAGATAAAATGTTCTGACAGTGACAAGTAGTCACATTACTGCTTGGGTTCAATTGAGTTTAGCATCTTGTAAAGCTGTCATTGCACAGGACTCATATTATTATACCTGTGGTGAAAATGTCACATGTCAGGCAGAGATGGCCTTTGAGACTGAGCAGTAGAATAAACAGAAGATGAATTATTATGTTTTCCAGGCAAAAGGAGATCCAGGCAATCCAGGTCAGATAGACAGAGGCAAGGTCCAGGCAATCCAGGGAGTTATTCAAGAGCTAGGGGGGGTATGAATCTGTTGGAGAGAGGACAAACAAGTCACTACGCTGGACAAGGAAATGGGCTAAACTGGCATCAGTATGTTATCGCAAATGACTTCACAGCAATCCGTTGCTGTTTAGGATGAAGCACAATTTTTAAAGAGTAGCTGGATAAAATGAAGGCTGGTGAGGTGCAGTTGGTCACGTGTTTTCAGAGAGTGGGACAGAAAAGTGACCACCAGTAAGTACAGTCCACTGACATTGTTGAATTGCTTCTACTGAAGCAATTCCTCAATTAAGAACCACAGAAGTTTGACCGGCTGACTCATCGTGCAGCAAACTCTCTCCTGAGACACATGAAAATATGCAGTTCTGCCTCATATTACATCACTGATGTTGTGTATTATTTTTAGGGTGTTTTATGTAAATGTGATGACGCAGAGTTTTCACGGTTAGTCTGTGGAATAAAGGTAAAATGACTCAGTGACCCACTTAAGTCTCACTGTTTTAATATGGATTTGGGAGACAGTAAAGTAACAAATGAAGTAATTAAAAAAACAGTTATGCATTTTGCAACCACAGCCACATGATCAAACTTGTGGATGGTGAATTGCTTCGACAAAAAATATCATTAGTAACTATTTGTAACAACTTTTGATTTTATTTTCACTTGCTTTTTTTGGCAAGTTGTCCTTTTCCTTGTTTAAGGAAGACAGAGCTTTCTTTCTCAAAAAGTGTCCAAAATGTAAATATAATCTATTACTTTATTATTCTAGTATGGTTTCTTATTTAAATTTGATTAGTATTAAAGGAAAACGAGTTCAGCTTAAAGATTTGATTAATTTACAATGAGATTTACAGAAATAGCCAACAATGCCATGACAAAGGAAATTAATTTCTCCACAGAGGCTGATTGGACATTATGTAATGCGTGGTTCCACAAAGTCGGGTTCATGATTTCAAAAACTGGTTTTATCTAGCGTTTGTTTTCACATGTGACCAGCCACCAGGATTAAAGACAGAAAAACTTCGAGTCACACCACAGATGGAAGCCATACTTTTGAAGCATGTGAGTTCATGCTTGGACATGTGGCAAAATGGTAATCTGATTCTGATGGCATAATATGATTAAAGCTGGACTCAGAACATCGCTGGAGTAGCTTGTAGCAGCTTAATTTATTATTATTAGAATATAACTAAGCCATATAGAAACTTAAGTACAGTTAAGATATAGAATTACAGCACAGGGTATTATTAGACTGAGCAAGTACGTGCCTTATAATGTGCGTGTGGGGGTTTGTGTGTTTTTAGAGAGTGAAATAGAATGCTTAGAATGCTTAGATTACGAATTTGACCCTGTATTTTCACTGTTCATTTCTTGTTTGTCTTCGTGTGCTAATAAAAAGCACAGAAAAATACACCGTAAGTGCTGACCGCTGTCAGGTAGCACATAGACTGCTATGACTCAAGAACATTAAGATATGTTAGATGGTGTGTCTTCACTTTAAGGGAGCAATAAATACTGACCTTACAGACCTGAAAAAGTTAATGTTGTCTGTCACAAACTGGAAGAGACATTTGTAATGAGGTTTCCAGTCACAACAGCAACTCACCTAAAAGATTAAATCCGATTTTGGCAACAATATCCTGGGTAATGTAAACAGATAAGCAGCTCACTTACACCATAATTGTACAGAAACTGCTGGAGATTAGTAACTTAAATTTAAAGTTCTTCTCTACTCAGTCCATAAAAATAGCTTGTATACAATTTTGTATGAATAAAGCCCCTCTTTTTCCCAATCTTGTGTTTTATTTTGAGCAGATTTTACTCTTTTGATCAAACACAGCAAAATTAAATAAAACAAAACTGATCCCAGTCATATATGATACAGTGCAGACGTCTTGCTGTTGCCAGACCAAAAAGTACAACATACAAATATAAAGTTGTAAGAACGTCTGAAGGAGGTTTGTCCGTATGTCACAGGGTAGCCATGAAACGCTCTTGATACAGTACAAAATGGAAATCCCATCATTCTCCAGTTAAAACATGTTTACATATCTCTACCCCAACCCTAAGTAGTCTGGAACAAACTGCCGTAGAGGTGGAAGTAGAAGGGTCATGAGCCACATGATAGACTGGAAGCATGTTCTGTTTTTCAAAACCAACCATGATGTGAGTAAGTGAACAAACAATCGAAATGTTCCCTCAGGTTTTGCAAGGTCAGTCTTATGACTTGATAATTGTAACGGTTTATACTAAGAGAGGGCTGTGTTCAGCTGGCTTCCAGGCATGTGCTGTGGTTACAGCCTATAAAAAACAGATATCACAAGCAGTATAACTGAACTGTAAAACAAACCAGTGTTTCATGTGCAGTAGAAAGAGGGGTCTGTGTTGCTTGGAGGTTTCGAATGTGGTACATTGCCTGATGCTGAAATGAATCTACGAGTCATCTTTCCTCACTCTTATGTTTGCTGAGGCCGCTGACTGTTGTGTTGCAAGTCAGGCTTAATTCTTTGGATTCCCAACAACCAACATGAGCAAGTTTCACGGTGAGCTAACCCAGAGGGAGCAGGATCTACTGAGAATCCGAAGAGACAGTGACAGTAAGGCTGCTGAACTCACCAAGATGGAAAAGATGCTCCAGCAAACGAAAAGCCTACTGGACAAAAAGAAAGACTCAGGCTCAGAGAGTTTGGGTTACCAAGAGAATATGGGTTTGTATAGCAAACAATGCCTAATAACTTTCAGATCATAACAACTCAGTGTTGGCCTCTGTCGTGTATGATAATGTTTTTGTTTGTTTGTATTTCGAACTGTTGCAGTGGAGGACCTGGAGGAGAAGGTGCGTTCGAGCAGACGATACAGGAGAAGCTCACTCCATCATACACAGATGCTGGAGAGCCAGATGAAAACAGTAAAAGGCGAATTGGTGGGCACGCTGGACCATCTCGAGGAGCTGAGGAATGTCCTGCGACGCTCACAGCAAAAAGCAGAGGAGCGCAAAGTCGCCATGGAGAAGCTGGCGGCAGGGCTCAGGTGAAGAGCTTCCCCTTCAGCCACGTTTTCTTCTGTACTTTAGACTTTTTCAAGGTCTAAATACAACTGACATCCTATGTCCTGCCAAAACGGATATGTGGAGATTTCAGCTAAGAAGACTATATCAGCACTTCGTTACTTAAGATGAAATCTTTGAAGATACTTGAGCCTATTTGAGCTGCTTTCCGCACCCCTTCATCTCCACAGTTTACTGGTATATAAAAGAAGAAAAAAAAAGAGTCTTTCTTCCTTTTGCATGAATTCTGGTTCAAAGCTTTTTGGACATAAGCTATTCTTCACAGCACTTGCTTTTTGGTGTAAATTCTTAAAATAATTTGATAACAATATAATTGTGCTTTTATGTTTAAGTTTGCAAGAATCGTATAAAGAAAAGAAAATATAACTGTGTGGATTATTTAGAAGAGGACACAAGTGCATAATTCCAGAGAGTGAACATTTAAAGTTATACAACAGACAAGTCTGATGATTTTAGGTTGAGAACATAACATTTGCATATCGTTCTGCATCCAATTTCATGTATTAGATTTTGCTGTCTCTAATTTTGAGTGACTTTCTGATTCCTGTTATTGATTTATGTATTGTGGCAAAGAAATAAATGAATGGAAAGCTGATTTTAGACATTTAGTAAATAAAGCAGATAAATTAAGAAACAGGGATTTGTTATTTTGGAAATTAACTGCTTTCAATTTAAACTTTCAATCAGTACGTTAAACTAGAATGGCTTGAGACAGAGATACTATACAAAAGGGGAAAGCAACTCCTAGCTTTGAGGGACCACTTTACTGCAGGTTTTAGAGATTTCCCTGCTTCGACACGCCTGATTCAGATCGAATTGATGTCTTATAAAGATTGTTATGCTCTGCACAGGACTGTCGATGTTGTGTTGATGTGAATCAGGTGTGTTGAAGCAGGGAAACCTCTAAAACCGGCAGGACAGTGGCCCTCTAGGCCCACAGGTGGCTACACCAGCTGTGGAAGCTCACAATTAATGAGCCCACAGAGGGCACCAGAGACTTCTCAGAAATCGCCCGAGAATTTCTTTTTATTTTTTTTTGTCTACTAGAAAGTCGACTCTTATTACAGAGCTGCAGGGCTCCATGTTATGTCTGAATATCCTTCAGCAACACCCATCTATTTGTTTCCTGTACCTGCTCCCTGCAAACCATGTAGCTGGGAGAACCCGTGTATTTACAGGGAGAACGTGAAAACTCTCCAGAGAAAAGGCCCAGTCAGGATTTTAATTTGTAAACCTCGGGACCCTTGGAACCCTAGCAGCAATGCTAAACAAAACCACAAAAGTATGCAACCTACCAGAGATAAAGTTAATCCTAATTTTTCTCCATGTAAAAATTTGCATTCTAATGAGTGCTTATTTATTTTTTGCATAATTAACGTGTATCTAGTATCTCTTATCATAATGTTGTATAAGAGTTTTAAATCACTGTGGATAAAAGCATCTGCTACATGCATAAACATTAACATACACATCTTGGTTGTGTGGGACAAATTTCCACAATTTCTGTTTGTGTCTTTGTAATCTCACGGTTACTGCAAGACATAAGGATGGTAACGCAAACTCCGCACAGATGGCCCCGGGGATTCTAACCCTTTTGCTGTAGCATTGCACCCGAAGCCAATGCCATTGTCTAAAAAGTAGCAGAGAAGGAAATATTACAAAATGTCTGTGGCTTTTAACTTGTACGCCTTGCCAGTTTATTGTGCATTTCTAGGGATTCCACATACACAGGCTTTACACAAAAATATACTTTTAACCTTTGATTTCTTGACCAGTTGGATCTTCTCAACATCAGTGCTGGAACCAATCCAGATGTGGGGTACACAACTACTTACTTTTTCTTCTGGACAGATTTGAAAATATTGAGGTGCCACTGGGCCAAAGGCCCCATGCTCATGTTATTTCTCAAGACTGAACTATACTATATACTATATACAGTATGGTATCACATTAACTAAATGATAAAAAATGAATAAAGAAATTCCCAATAAAGGCTTTATACAGCATTATTTATTGATGAGCATTATACAGTAATTCAAGTGCATCTAAAGTTTGAACATTTGGTCCAAACCCTGACCACAATATTTTAAACAAGACTTCTATTTACCACACATATGTTTAACAAAAAATAATGTGGAAAGAAAAATCTGTTTGACAATTAAAGCAGGCTATGTTTGTTTGTCCCCCTCCCCCCTGTCCCTTCAGGAAACGCTGTCCCAAAAGCTTGCTGTTTCTCTACATGTTGCCTCTGAATGTTATATCATTTTAATACAGACAGGCTTTAATGGCAAATGAATCACAGTGGCTTGCAGTTCATTCGTTGTGGTGAAGTAAACACATATTTACCGTTACCGGGAGCGAAATTATGCTTGAACATTTTCAAATTCAACAGAACCTGTTGGTGAAATGTACAAAGTTTTGATGGGTAGTGTGGATGCTTCAAAATCACATACTAATCAAAACTCAACACCTCCAACCTTATTAAAAACAAAAGAAGGTAAAGAGAACCATATCTCATCTTCATTCCTTGAGAGGGATCCAAGCCATTTTATTTTTCCATACCTAATTTCAATGTCAATAGCTTTTATACAACCATCCTCGTAGTCCTTTATCAAGTCTCAATTTTTGTTGTACTGATGTTTATTTTTCTATGTGAAATCAAAGTTGGTTTTAATAATTACTTTTTCAATTTTTGGAGGGATGGATAGGGAGTGTGCTGGATAATATTTTAGAAAGATTATAGTGTCATCTGCAAGATGGCTTATGATTAATTTGTGGTTATTTATGTCTAACACTTTAACATCTGAATTGATAACAGTTAAGTACAGTAATTCTGTGGCTACAATAAATAAAATGGATGAAATACTGCAGCTCTGCCTGACGCCCCCTATCAACCCTGAATCTGGAACATGTACTTTCTGACAGGGAAACACAACTTTTAATATATATATAACATAGCAATCATATTAAGAAACGCCTTGCCAAATCCAAAGTCTTTAGATGTGTCAATAATAAAAGTCAGTTTGATTGACTCAAAAGCTTTGTGGAAGTCACGGAACAACATAAAGCTAAATCCTTATTTGGTCAATAAAATTCATAAATAAATATTATTATGGATCAACCTTCCTTGAAGAAATCCAGTTTGTACAGGGCCAATTGTCTTAGAAATGCCTATTTTTATTCTTGTCGACAAGACTTATGCAAATATCTTGTAGTCTGTTTTTAAAAGTTGCTTAAAATGTTTTTTTTCCGGGTTTGGCATCTATTTAATTTTTTTAATCACACTTTATAATTTTTTTCTCTCACAACACAAATACAAAAATTAAAAGATTACCATATGTTAATAAAACTATAATTAGGGGGGCCACTGCCAACGGCAGGCCCTCCTATTGCTATTGTGCATATTAAATAAATCATTGTTCCTTAATTTTGCACTTAGCCTCCCTAATCTAAAAAATGTCTTTATACCACTGCTTTACAATTATGCAAGTTTAGTAATGAATGCACATTTACAGGCAGTAAACAAAAGTTTATTTAACAATATTGATCTATCCATAATCTTTTTTACAGGTGAGAAACGCAGAAGAAACTGTCTAGGATCTTTAAAAATCTTAGACGTCAAAATTGTACTCACTTCCTTTGTTATACACCACTAGAATTTTTATACAATTGTACAGTCCCAAAATATGTACACATGGGTACCAGCTGTTGATTTTCACTTAAGGCACAAAGAAGATCTGTTTGTATCTATTTTATTTAAACCAGAATGAGTTCTCTGTTGCCTGTGAAATATCCAAAATTCTTCATGCTTGTTGCTAAGGAAGAGCGTGTGGATTAGCTGAATGCATTCTTTCCATGATTGTTAAGAATTTTCTCTATTAAAATCCCTTTTCCATTTTTTGACAAGCTTTTCAACATTAAACTCATTATATTCTTGTATATGACTGTAACAGTTATCAATGAATCCTTTTCCAAGGGTTGGTACTTTGTCCTGACTGGTGGAATAAGTAGATGAAGAGAGGGTGCATGCTGGACTGCGGGGATGGAGCAGGTCAGTAAGATAGGAAGGGGTATGGTTATGGTGGGCTTTGTGTGTTAGGAGGAGGATTTTTAATGAACAATATTTTTTAAATAAAAATTTCAATAAAAGAAAAGTGATTTACATGTTATGCAGCATAGAAACCTGTGTACATAGGTACTATGCTAAGCATTAGTGCAAGAACAAACTGAAGTGACTGAGAAAAAAACTAACAGAAACAAATCCCCAAAAACATAAGAGAAGGGAAAAAACAAAACAACAAAAATAAAAACACAAAAAAAACTTAAATAGTAATTCTCAATTCCTTTAAAAAAAACCGGCAATAACCTTATCCTTATTTTTAGTTACTCCCTACCCATGTCACAAGCTAAAATAGTAGTAAACACCCATAAGGTGGGTGCCTGTAGGACCACTAGGGGTTAGAAAAGTACCTTACTTTTAAAAAATTCTCTCCTTGGTTTTTAAAAGAGTACATGATCTTTTCAGGCTCAGACACAACATTATGTGTAACACCCACTGAGTGTGTGTTGGCAGGGCAGCAGCACTGCTCTATCTGAGCAAAATAAGACTGAAAAGGAATGAGGTGAAGGACAGCATACAATGGACCTCAGAGGGAACCTTATTGTCTCTTGAATAAATACCACATAAGACAATAAATACCAAATAACGTTACCGTGAGGTTACCCCAAGACCTCAAAGAGAATTTGAAAGACTTCCTGACAGAATGTTCTAAGACCAGGGCAGGTCCAGAATGAGTTGATCACTGTGGTTTCATTGCTGCCAAATGAGTCACATTCGAGATTTCTGGGTAAATATAAAACAGTTTGGCTTTAGACATATGGGCTCTATGGACAACCTTAAACTGTACTAGACAGCGACAAGAGCAGAATGACGTGGAATTAACAAGTGTCATTGGAGAAGTGCTTGTTCCCAGGTTGCCCTAGGCTGTTATCCGTGTTATAGATTTTTGAGACCAGTCCTCTTTCAGAATGCTGCAAACTGAGAATGTTATCTATTCCATATCTCTGAGCAGCCTGTAAACTGGCCTTGAAATAAATACCGGATTTTTATATCTCTAAAGAAGTGGGTTCTTGGAACACTGCATTTATTTGAAAGCTGTTCAAAGGAAGCAAAAATGTTGTCACTGAACAGATCCTTAAAAGACGTTTTACCCATAACCTGCCAGTTCTTAAACGACTTACCTAAAGATTGAGGAAATGAATATTGAGTAAAGCTAATGAATATTGGGTAAAGCTAGCTCCCAATTTGACTTGGACTTCTGCAGATGTCTTCTAGCAACCTGGGGATGCGTACCTTTTCCATTTGAAGAAGCTGACGGTAGAATCAAAATCTTCAAAAAGGACCTTGGGATAAAACTGGAACTGATTGAAAAAGGTACAAAAATCTAGGGAGGATGGGCATCTACACCCCATTGATCCACCCAGAAGGGGATGTGTAGGGGTGACCCTTTTAGCAAGTGTTGCTTGATCTGATTTAGATATACCTTTCCCTTGCTAGTTTGAAAGGAAAGGGAGAAAAATTTGATTGGTGTGCCTTATTATTTAAAGGAAACAGTTAACCTGTCATGCAAGTCAAGCGCAACATTAAGACCAACAGATCATCTGCATATGGTGCCAGTTTATCATGGGCTTTTTCTTCTGCATAAAGGGAAAGGAGGCATTTACTGATTGAGTATGTGTATACAATAGTCAGTAAATGACGTACGTTGAAAGAATTAATGAATCCCGAATCCCGTCAGCAGGACAATTTTTAACCGAATATGCTGTAGAACCAGGAACCAGTGGAGTTTCTGGAGGGCACGAGTGATGTGATCCAGGGTGTGGATGTTGGTTAGCAGACTTGCAGCAGAGTTTTGGATGTACTGTTGTGTAGTTAAAGTTTTTGATGGTGTTCCGTAAAGGATGCCGTTGCAGTAGTTAAATCTAGAGGTGATGAAGGTGTGGATGACTGTTTCAACAGCAGAGAAGGAGAGTGATGGGTGGAGACGGTCACTGTTCCTGAGATGAAAGAAGGCAGTTCTGGTGACTTGGTTCAAAGTAGAGGTTATTATCAAAGATGAGTCCAAGGTTGCAACTTTGGGGGCATGGAGACATGGTGTAGATGTTGATGGTGAGGAGGAAACTGTCCGTGGTTTTGTTGAGGGATTTGGGGCCAATAATAAACAGATCTGATCTGATTTGTCACGGTTAAGTTTGAGTAAGTTGGTCTACATCCAGGATTTGATGGTGGTTAGGCAGTTTGAGAGAGTGGTGATGGAGTTGGTGGAGATGTAAAGCTGGACGTTATCTGCACAACAGTGTGTGGTACGCCATCTTGATGACTTTGGTAAAAAATTATCGATTTCATTCAAATATTGTCAAATGTAGTCTTACAGTTATCATATTGTTATGTTTGTGTTGCAAAGATTTGCATTCTGAAGCCAAAGCGCGTTTCCGCAAGGTATGATGAAACAACACCAGTAATGTTTAAATGATGGTTTGGAATTGTTTGTGTGATTTAGTGCTAAGTTTATTGTAACTGGTGACCAGAAAAGCAGTAACAACAAAACATATGGTCTGGTGGAATTATGAAAGATGTTCTTGTTTTGACAGCTCTTAAACATCCATTACAACCAACAGACACCCAAAACAATGACTGTGGTGAACGAAGGCAATTTACTTTGTTATCACTGGAATCTTAAACACGTAAGGATATTTGTGGAGAATGGAATTTAAACAGTCGAATTAGTTAACATCTAGAGACGCATGAAAAGTACACGGTTTATTTTCTACTGCCTCCCACAGTATCTCGATAAGTAGTACTGGGTATTGACTGTGACAAGTGAAGAGTTATTTTCCAATTCTGTGACCAACACAAACCACTGAGGCATGACTTAAGGCAAAAACAACCTCCCAAACAAAACAACCAAGACTTGTATGTGTATATACATGAACAAAACTCTAAAACACAAAAGCAACAAAAAATAATTACTTGTACATTGTTTTTATTTAAATAATCCACTTTGATAGCCTACTGGATTGATAGGGTGTTTTCTGTTTTCTACAGATATAGCCGCTGGTTATATGGTTTTGTTGTTTTCCTTAAACCCTTCTCTCTCCATAAGGATCCTTCTCTTTTGGGATGGTTTCTTTGTCTTTGCTCTCCCTTCTTTCCATTCCCCTGTCAGGTTTGACATAATTTAATAAAGTTAAAGTTTTGTAAAAAAAAAATTAAAAAGCAGTATTGGATAATCAAGGGGGGTTTTCACCCATAATTTCTTGGCAAATCATTTATCTTTGGCATAACACAGTTCTTACAATGCTGCTGCCATAATGCTGACAAGGACAGGGTAAAAAAATAAAAAGAACATTTATGCAGGGTGAAATTGGTATTCATATTTCTAATACTTTTGCAGCTCTCAGGCAGCTCTAAAAAAGAACCATGACCAATAAATCCAAGTCGGTGATCAAATTCATGGTCTTATCAAAACTCCTCTCACTCTTTCAGAATAGCCCAAAATCTACAGAAAATACAGATTTTACTTGACAGTATTCCCCATTGGAAAATTCCCTGTTATAACACATATGACATGACTCCTTTTCCTCATTCAGATATTATTACACCAGTCCACTACTATATGCTTTCATACAGTTTGGGTCCTGACCTGCCTTTAAACTGTTCTTATAAAACGAACTGATACAAATTCCTTTTCCTGTGCAGCATTATACAGTTTTCATGCCAGGTTATTGCTTTCCATCTTTGTATCCACCGTAAATCCTATATACATCTACTATAAACCTTGCTGAATGAAAGGCAGGGTGTTATACTGGGGGTTTATGAGGATTGCACAGGATACGAACATATTGCCAGGCAGCGTTCATCTAATTATATTATGAAAGAAAACTTGCTGACTTATTTATTAAGTTTTGAGGGACAGCGAATTCATCTAAGTCGAGAAAACGTTAAGCTTTTTCCTTTCGACTATGTCCAGGAGATCTTATTCTTGATAGAAGTTAAAAAAATATATTAGAAACAGCTGTAATCTGTTACCAGCTGTAAAAGATTTTTCATATGAAAAAGACCTGCAGCAGGAAATGAAAACTGAGAGGCCCTAATTTTGACTCACAGATCCACCCATCATTTGTTTCTCACATACAGATCCCCTGTTATCATAAAGCAAAATACCACTTGAGGCAATCTGTACTTTAGTGTGAAACTCTATTGGTTTTGATAACAATTCCGAATGGTTATGCAACACATAGTGCTCGGTTGTTTCATAATATGCAAGTTAAAACATGTAGCTTGCAATTGGGTGGCTTCGTACTCAGTCATTCCTTTAGCATTGTATGTGTGTTTGGTCTTGTAGCAGGGTTGGGCTATATCTGAGACTGGGGTGTATTGTTTGTGTTTTGCACAATGAGGCAGAATGTGCTGATGCAGCTCTAACAGTGGGAGTGATGAGGCCTGCCCTGATCTGAGATGACTGCCAAAGCTCAGAGGAAAGATTTGTGCCTCCACTCTCTGTAAAGCTACCACATGAGCATCAGTGATGCCAAAAGCTTGGGCTGTTGATAGGCCAATGCCAGGCAGCCACAGCTGCTGGGCTCAAATGCAAGCTAAAACAACTTTAAACCATTTTCCAAATAACCTGTGCAAGCAAAGAAGAGGGGGTTGATCACAGAGTGTACTGTGGCTGCCAAGAGCTCTCCAGCTGTTCTGTCTTTACTGATCCTCTGCTATGGAAAGAGATGAGTCAACAACCTACATTTTTTCATATTAAATTTCTGAGTCATTAATATTAGCTCTGTTTTAAGTATACCATTTAATTGTTTAGTTACTTTACAACCACAATTCCGTTTTTATGAAGCACTTTGCTTTTGTGTTTATTGTTGTACAAGCCCTGACTGCATCGCTATTCAAACTAAAGGTCTAATATTTTTTCACAAAATAACATAATGAATTACAAGATAGAAAAATAGGATATAGACTAAATTTCATGTATAAGATCCTTATACACCTGTTATATCAGACTGTATTAGCTTTGATTTTTTGTGAACCCTCTTGCTGTCAGCAAGTGTTTATATCACAACATGTGAACTACATTGTATAATACAGTAACTGATGAAGAATGCTACATGAGTGCTGTGGTACCGATATGGAGTAGTTTTCAGCACCTTTTTATTGAGTACAAGGTAAAAAACATTTATACTTAAATTATTATTGGAAAATAACAGTGTCAGCACGTTGGAACATCGTGGAGTAAAATACCCACTCTCAAAATACCATAATTCTGTGCACAAAAATACTTATGTGAAGTATAAGTAACTACTTTAAAACTGCGTGAGCCACTGCATTTAAGAAGTAAACTCTTGTGTTGCTCCATTTTTTAGTGAATAAGATAGGATCATATATAATACACAGTACAATGCGCAGTGTAATGTTTTGTATCAACATATAATAATAATTAAAAAAAAGGTTCAATATGAATTTTTCAGAAATAGTACATGTATAAAGGTAAATAAAATAAAGCAAAGACCGGATCTCATGGTCCACTCAGCTAAACAGACCTTTTTGAGGGCCAAGAGGTCGGGCTTTGTACAGCTGCTGATATCCCCGCACAGAATATTCTCATTGGTAAAAGTTCCTGAGCACTGTCTCTCTGGCTTGTGAAGTGATGGAGATGCCATCTGGCTTCCTTTAGTGGAGTCTAACTGAAGTGATGAAAACAGGTCTTGTGTGATTGTCACACTAAGATATCCAAACTGTCCACTCTTTCCATCTCTGACCCACTGATGCAGAGTTGATGCGTTTTCCTTCTGAGAGCCACAATCAGTTTTTTTTAGTTTATTTGACATTCAGCAGGATATATTCTAGCCCACAATGACTGTGTTGACAGCAACTTAATGATCATGCTGTTGGGGTACATCAGATGTGGATACATACAATATATGCATACATGTAGAATCGTGCAATTTCTAAATATATTGTAATATACATTGTTTTTGATAAAATGGTTGGTGGGTTCGTATATATATGTTTATACATATATGCACATCGAAAAACGGCATGTATTGTGGTTTATGTAACACGTGTGGAGCAGCATTAAATATGAAATTACATTTTTTGTAAAAAGTTCCTCCTATGTGCACTTGATCAACCTTAATATTTTTAAACTATCTGGTCAACAAATCTCAGACGCTTGAAGGGAGATTTGTGGGCTTTGGGATCTGGGCTGGGTCGGAAACACGCCTCCTTCTCTGAAGGCGGAGGACTGCTTATAAAGACGACTTGAGAACAGGCGTCAATCGTGGAAACCTACAGGAAATAGGGTGCAGCTTCTTCAATTTCTGAATCTGTCTTCTGTCAACACAGGTAATGAAAAATATTCATATTTTCTTTTAAATGCCATTTAAAAGCGTTGCAGCCGCATAGAATTAAGGAAACAAGAAGCACCAATGGCGTTGTGCATTAAAACGAACTATTTTTTTTATTTCACAAACTCAACAAATGAATCCGAAGTTTAAAACCTTGCTTCGATCATTTTAAAGCTGTGTCTAAGAATAAATTATGCTTAAATGCGTATGTTTATAAAATAAAATTAGATAAATAGTGTTTCCTGCAATGCTACTGTGTTTGCCAGCGCTGTTGTCACGTATTTTCCACTGTGGTATTGGATTTTTAGCCTGGTAACAATTAGTGGCACAGTCACTGTGGAGAGTGATGAATAATTTCCAAAATTTAACAGTGACACGTTGCAATACAGTTTCCCTAGCCAGTCAAACAGCCACACCATCAAATAAGTTCTCCAAGAACCGGGGATTAAAACAGTACGTAATTGTATTACAGGTTAAACAACATGCAGCAAAAATAAGTATAGGATGTATATTATTAGAGTATTAGAATATGTTTTAATCACTGATGAAATTATGCCTCTAAAACGTCTGAAACGAGTGAGAACATTTGGTACAGTTTACCCATTATTCACCAGTCATCAAGAAATTTGCTTTTTATCTTAAGAAATCTGGAGGAGAGAAAGTACTAAATTTAGGCTTGGAAAAGTAAAGTTTACCAGTCAAGAATATCTATCAGCAGGTTTTATGGCATCCTAAACTTCTAAAGGATGGTTATTCTAAACTTGTTGCAACATGACTGACTATTTGTTGATGAGCATGTTTTTCCTGTTAGGCTTTTATCACAATGATACACAAAGAGTTCCAGACCGCAGGCAAGAAGCCTGGTTTGCAGATATGGCGGGTGGAGAAAATGGATCTGAAACCAGTCCCTACCCAACTGTACGGAGACTTCTACACTGGAGATGCATATATAGTGCTTTATACCAGCCCAGCTCCGTCTTACAATGTGCATTCATGGATCGGTACAACAGATTTTATTTCCTCTTTATGTTGTTTAATTTGTCTTTTATTCCACAGAAGCTCACCTTTCTTTTCCATTTCTCCCTGCTTTGTTGCATTGCAGGTGATGAAGCTTCCAAAGATGAGAGTGGAGCCGCTGCCATTTTCCTAACTCAGCTGGATGATCACCTGAGAGGAGCGGCAGTACAGTTCAATGAGTTTCAAAACCAAGAGTCAGTTACCTTTTTGGGTTACTTCAAGTCTGGCATCAAGTACAAGGTGAAATATTCCTGTTAATTCTGTCAAAAGGTGCATTTACAAGGTGCACTAGCACAAATTTAAAAAAACATATTCTACAACTAAGTGAAATTAACTTATTTCTGGGTAATAAACAGTTGAATTGAGATTTAGCTCCAAAATGGAAGCTTCTTAAAAATCTAACGTACAGTCAAATATTTTTTTTATAACTAACGTGTTTATATGGGAGTTAGAGTTTCTACAGCTATTCTGGGAGGCGTGGTATGTTGTTTTCTCAGCCTTTTCTTGGAGGTTGTCATGGAGAGTTTGGAGAAGCAAACAAGGCAAGCAGGAACTTGCTCTCTAAATGCCAAAACACCAAATGGCTGAACATTTTATTCTTTGTTTGTTTTGTTTTTCATTGCCACAGAGGTCACTAAGTTGTTTTCAAAGATTGTGGAATGAACTTGGATTTCGGTATCCTGACTATAGCAAAATAAGAGTTTGAACTGGAAACTATTTTCTCCGTTTATGCTACATGTTGCAGTTATTCATCGTATCATTTCTCTAATTTTTTTACAGAAAGGTGGTGTTGCCTCGGGCTTCCAGCATGTTGTGACCAATGACATGAATGTGAAGCGTCTGTTGCATGTCAAAGGCCGACGGCTAGTCAGAGCCACAGAGGTGGACATGTCCTGGAGGAGTTTCAACAAAGGAGACTGTTTCATCATTGACCTGGGAAAGGTAACAAGAATAAAAAGTATATACCCAAAAATTTGAATTGGACCGACTTCCCATGTTGTACTGTGTAGCCACAACTGTACTTCACTCCACTTTTTCTTGGCTCTACTTGTTAAAACAATAGGACATATATCACTGGTCTGGTAGTGAGAGCAATCGCTACGAGCGCCTGAAAACCACTCAGGTAGCCAACGATATCCGCGACAATGAGCGAAATGGGCGTGCCACAGTACACATGATTGACGAAGGTGGTGAGCCTGAAGCTGTTATAAAAGTGAGTTTTTTTTTGTCTTCAACTTTTAATCAGAAAATCTCTGTTGACATCTATTGTAGTAATTTATCTAGTTTATGAGAAAAATAGTGTCAGAACCAACATTTTCTTTATTTTCAGGAACTGGGACCAATTCCACAGCTCGTAGCAGGAGGTTGTGATGTAGCTGCTGAAAAGACAAAGGAGAACCAGGCATCTCTCTATTTGGTAAAGTTACACACACAACAGGGTTCAATTGTTATGTTGCTGACTCTCATGAATAGTCAGAGACTATTTTTTATCTGTCAACACTTTTGCTTTAATGACAAAAACCACCTTAACTGACTACTTTAGAAATATTTATGATGATGAAATAATTTATGAGCCATAAAAAAATAATAAAATTGTTAGTTAGTTTTATAGCTCATACATTCCTTCATTAGACCTGAATGGGTGCATAATGAATCAAAACTATCCAATCTTAGTTTATTTTATACAACAAAACAACAAAATTATAATATATATAATTCATTGAATTTTTTGTTTACATGCATTTTTTGTTTACATGCATTTAATTCTGAGCTATTCTATGTAATTTCAGAGCCTTGGACCCTACTATTTGTATTCCCCTTTATAAAGTACAGTATAAAAAATTACATGAAGAATTTAGTAATTTTTAAAACCATTTTTCCTAGATCTCTGATGCTGCTGGGTCCATGAAGACAACTTTGGTGGCTGATCGAAATCCATTTAATCAAGACATGCTCTCTCAGAATGAGTGCTACATCTTGGACAATGGAGTTGACAATAACATATTTGTCTGGAAAGGTATTAAACTAGTTTATTAAACTAAACTACAGATTAAAATATTTTTTCAAAGTTTATCATGTCTGACTGCTGTATCACACCCCATATTGCAGGGCGGAATGCAAACACAGATGAGCGAAAAGCAGCATTGGCCGCTGCTAAGAAGTTCATCAAAGATCATAACTACTCCCCCAAAACAAAGGTAATCTGTTAAAGTCATGGAATTCTCCTTATATAAATTGGCTAATCTTATCAACTCTTCCTATTTACCTGCTTTTGTTTCTATCATGGACAGGTCCAGGTTATTCCAGCAGAGAGTGAGACATCTCTCTTCAAGCAGTTCTTCCTCCAGTGGTTGGAGGGAGAAGCTACAGGCCAGACCTACACTGTGGGTCGCATTGCTAAGGTGGAGCAGATTCCTTTTGACTCCTCCAAACTTCACAGCAACAATATCATGGCTGCCCAGCATGGAATGGTGGATGATGGCTCTGGAAAGACCCAAGTAAAATATTTTGCTTGTCTTAAATTTGTTTTGTTTTTTTCAAATATCAACATATTCATGTGATGATGGCTGTCTGTAGATCTGGCGTGTGGAAGGAAGCGACAAAGCACCTGTGGACCCGTCTAGATATGGGCATTTTTATGGAGGTGATTGTTACCTGATACTCTACTCCTACAGTGATGCAGGCAGACAGAAGCATATCATCTACACTTGGTAGGTGCAACTTTTTCTGCATTTCATTGAGGTGACTTTTAGAAAAAGATGACTTTTGTGCCCCCAGTCACATCTACTTCTCTGTTTCCCCATTTAGTTATCTGATCCATGGGTAGAAGCAAATGACTAACATTCTTAAAACTAGTCTCTGATACATTAAACTGCAGCATTAGTTTTACAAGTGTAAAAGCCCTGGGTGTGATAATCATTAATTAATGTGAGTCTATATTGCTAATGTTCTGGTCTCTTTAATACAGCGCACGTATATTAGTGATGAACTTGTAAAACAACATAAATAAGGAACATTTGTTCTGAGAAATTTTAACATTCAAATCAATTCAACTCAATTTTATTTATATAGCGCCAAATCACAACAACAGTTATCTCAGAGCACTTTCCAAATAGAGCAGGTCAGGCCGTACTGACCTGCTCTGTTATTTACAAAAGCCCAACAATTCCCACCAAGAGCAAGCACTAGGCGACACAGGCAAGGAAAAACTTCCTTTTAAGAGGCAGAAACCTCGAGCAGAACCATGGATCACGGTGGGGGGCCATTTGCCTTGACGGGTCATGTGTTCTTTCTTAAAAGAGTAAATATATTTTTAAGCAGAAAATAACTCCTAGCAGACAGGTTTGGATTTTAAGCAGTTGTTCACAAGTGTCTGACACTGTTAAATTGATTTATTTGACCACTCTTATAAGCAAGTTGGTTCGATAGCAATATTTCTTCAAAGGGTCTTTGCTTAGATTTTTGTTTTCCTTAACCCTCAGTTTCCCTTTAAATATGATTACAGTTTGGGAAAAAAAATTGAAAATCGGCATGAGAACCCCTACCTGCCACAGCCTCAGATGGGGCTCAGTGTCTTGTTTGTGCTGGTCTCAAGCCTAGGTAAATGCATGGGTTGTGTCAGGTCAGGCATTCTGTGTGAAAACTCTTCCGACACTTACATTCCAATGGTAGGTTGACGCCCTGTGGTGACACCGAAAGACAACAGTGACATGGTATTGACTTATAGCCAAATGGGGATTAACATTAGATTCACTGTGGTTTCACTGCAGGCAAGGGCAGAAGTGTACCCAGGATGAACTTGCTGCTTCAGCTTTTCTCACTGTTAACCTGGATGACTCCATGGGAGGAATAGCTACGCAGGTAAGATATTAATATTGCTCCGACCCCAGAGGTGGTTTCTCTTTTCTTGATTCGGGTAGATAGAAGTGTCCCTGAATACATCAGATGCAAAATTTTGGAAAGTCTCTCTTAGAGAGTATGTAATGCCCTGGAGTACCTGAATGAATCCAATATGGAGATTATCATATAATGTCAGACTCGTGCTTATTTGCCAGGTCAATGAGAAATTCACAACTGATTAAAAGAGGAAAACACCAAAGTACTGTATACAAATCATGTCAACAACCTATGTCTTGTGCACTATGACTTGTCATTGTTTTGTATCTTTTATTCCATTCCAGCTTTATATGCTAAGCTGCATCTACAGCTTTTTATTCTGAACTGACCTGGTTAATTGGAAATGAAAATATTCATTCAGTCAGCCTGGTTGGAGAGCATTACAGTTTGGATTTGTTTCATACAGAAACAGATCTTATGTGGACAGACATGAGATTGAAATCAATCTTCTCAACTCACAACAGTTCTACTATTCCAATATACACTTTACATCTTTGGTCACACATGACAAACATGCAGCTTCAGTTGCGGCTGTGTCTCTGCAGGTTCGGGTCACTCAGGGCCAAGAGCCCCCTCATCTTGTGAGCTTGTTCAAGGACAGACCTTTGGTCGTCCACCTGGGTGGGACATCTCGTAAAAGTGGTGAAAGTCAGCCTGGCAGTACACGACTGTTCCACATTCGCCAGAGTTCCACCAGAGCCACAAGAGCTGTTGAGGTCAGTTTTGTTGGTTACTCTCAGACCACATGAACAGATGCTATTAAATAAACATTTGACACAACCCCCCCTAATCTGGGTCTCCATGTTCCAGGTGGTACCCACCGCCCCCTCTCTGAACACCAACGATGTCTTTGTGCTGAAGACACCTAATGCCCTGTTCCTGTGGAAAGGAAAAGGAGCCAGTCCAGATGAGATATCTGCAGCTAAATATGTTGCAAGCTGGCTGGGTGGAACTACCACTGAAGTGGATGAGACTAAGGAGCCAGGTGAGGGGCTTAAAGCAGAGTCTTGATTACTATATGATGGTTGTGCAATTTCTTTCAAGGACAAACAATGGTTGTTTCTGTGTTGCCAGCTGGTTTCTGGACAGCACTGGGTGGGAAAAAGGCTTACCAGAGTTCTAAGTCTCTGCAGAAAATGGTCAGACCCCCAAGACTGTTTGGCTGCTCAAACAAGACAGGCAGGCTGATTGTGAGTGTCCAGGTTTTATCAATTGTCATTGAAAAAGCATTGATTTTATTTGTAGGTAAGCAATCATGTCTTTTTATACTATGTTTATTTGCATACTCATGAGGATGTGTTGCTCAATATTTAGGCGGAAGAGGTGCCTGGCACCCCCTCACAGATTGATCTGGCCACTGATGATGTCATGATTCTGGACACGTGGGATCAGGTATGCCACCTATTATGATCCACCAGATGATTGTGTAGAATTATTTTTCTTACCTTTAAACTGTTTTGTTTTCTTTCTCCCCCAGATCTTTGTTTGGATTGGAAGAGATGCCAATATGATGGAAAAAACTGGAGCACCTAAGATTGGTAAAGATCAATAAATAGAAAGAAAATTATTACAAAAAAAACTTAAATTAATTGATATCTTCCTTTTAGCCCAAGACTACGTGAACTCGGACCCCTCTGGCCGTCGTGGGATTGCTGTCACCACCATCAAGCAGGGTCAGGAGCTACCTTCGTTCACTGGTTGGTTCCATGCATGGGACCCCAAGATGTGGGACAAAGATCTTATGAAGTGCATGCAAGCCTCCACCAAAAAACATTAAAGAAGAAAAACTACAAAGAATTTACCTTTTATGACTCATGTGTTTCATATAGTGTTGAACTTAAAACATAATCGAAATACTGAAGGCTTAGAATGCTAGACTTTATGTAGATTTAGGTCAGCAACTGCAGCTGACAAAGGTTAGTGATCTTTCTTTGTTACTTCTTTTTATCAATGTATTTGTTAACCATAATAAGCCATCCACTCACAAATTTACCATGCAACATCCTCTAAGATGAATGTACTCTTAGAAAGATTTTAATTGACATATTTCAGAGATGCGGGCATAAACAATTTACAAAGAATAATGTGCTTTGACATAAAAGTATGTTATTTGCAGAATGAGACATTTGTATTCTGAACTTTAATAATAAAGTTTCTGATCATGATCTATTGTATTGTTTTGTTTTTCACATCTTGTTCTATTCTCTGCTACAATAGGCTTATTACTAACTAAATCCCCCATGTGCAGCAGTACCATGTGTAGGCCATGACTGATGGTAATCTTCAGGGCGTACGCATAAATCTTCTGCTGAGTTGCATGCTTGTGGATTAAGGAGTGGACTTCAGAGTGGCTCACGTCAGATTTTACCTCGCTTCCTTTATTCACTTTTATTCTCTGTCGCTGTGGCTGCAAGACAAACACAAACTGTGCAAAAATGAGTCAGAAAGTGGTACTTATCACAGGCTGCTCGTCTGGGATTGGCCTCGCTCTGGCGACCCGCATCGCAAAAGATGAGAAGAAGAGATTCATGGGTAAATTTTTGAAGATGTAATGTAAACCTTTTGTGGTACTTCAAAATTGGTAATAATTTAGCGTTTCGAAATGGAAATATTTTACATTGAAATTAATACGATATATTTTAAAAATGATACATTGTGATTAAACAGTTAAGTGATAATATGAATGATTAGATTGGGAGGAATAATCAATTTGTGATTTCATATGTTGTAATCTTAAAATCTCTTTTAACTTTACCTTGAACTGCTTCTTGGGGTTTTCATTTAAGCCTCTTTACTGCCAACATATCAGTGTTCGCTATTTTATTTCCCCATACTTTAAACTTAAAATATGAGCACTTGTTTGAGATTTGAATGATTCACAATTTAAAATGTTTAAGCATCTCAAAAACATGATTTTCCTCTTATTGACGGGACTTATGTTGCGTTTTTTTTGCAATGAAAGCTTTTCTAAACAATTTTTCAAAGATACCCCTTGAATTTTTACCAATCCAAAATTTAAAAAGGGCAAAACTTAATAATTATATCCAGTTCTATTGTGATGAACGTGAAAGACAGCTCATTGTGATAGTATAGTGTAACGTAGTGTACCAAAATTCTTGGCAAACATAAAAATATCTTTAAAAGATTTTTCTTACTGAAACCATAGATTAGTTAAAATGCTCCTTTTTATAAAATCAAGATTATTTTCTCCTTTCCTTTATAAAAAAAAAATCCCTTTTTTCTTATTTTTGTGATGATGTGTTAGTAATATCTTCTATTGACGATAAAAAAACAATATTTATTCTCAACAGAATACCGGAAACATATCAAGTGTTTAAAAATGGAAAAAAAATGTTAACTCATTTTGCATTTGATGGCAAAAATGTATCTCAATATTGAATCACCATCTGTTAACACAGTTGCATCTTCGAACTGCTATACAAAAAGTCACATGTGTACATGATCTACAAACACAAACATCTTCTCAGTGTTAATCTAAAATGGACTGAGAAAAATCGATTAGAAAAATTGTAAATTTGATTTAAAATTCACAGACACTGCATTCTCTGGACTAAGCACTAGGGGGATGATCTGGTTTCCAATGGCATGGGGAAAAAAACTGTTATCCTCAGATCACATTGTTTATTGCCCACTGTTATTAGAGAAGAGGGAATTTTCTAAACAATGTCTGTCCCAACTGTAAATACAAAAATGCAATGCTCATTGATTAATCTTTTGTGCTCTATTCTGAAAAGAATCTTGGTTTATTTGGTTTTCACAAAATTGCATTCCGTTTTTATTTACATTTTACAGAGGATACCACATTTTTATGGAATTAGGTTGTAAAAAACAGCATTGCTTAAAATGATTCTGTTCTTTTTTTGTTTTTTCTTGCAGTCTATGCCACCATGCGGAACCTGAGCAAAGGAGAGGCTCTGATTGAGGAGGCCGGTAGGACTCTGGGAAGGACCTTAGAGATCAAACAGCTGGACGTGTGTGACGAGGACTCAATCAAAGCTTGTGTGGACAGTTTGCCTGAGCGTAGGGTGGACATTCTAAGTGAGTCAGCACAGTTTTCTTCAGATTGTTCCAAAAAAAAAATATATGCACATGCTTCATTAGGTGCATAATGTTTGTATCTGTGCATGTTTCCAGTATGTAACAATTGCACATGCTTTCATGACATGTTTTACTCTTCTTGGTTTTCTATCAAAGTTAGCAATGCTGGGATGGGTCTGATTGGACCTATTGAATGTCAGTCCATTGAGGAGATGAAAACTGTCATGGATACCAACTTCTTTGGGCTCGTACGATTACTGAAAGAAATCCTTCCTGACATGAAGAAAAGGAAGAGAGGCCACATTGTGGTCATTAGCAGTGTCATGGGCATTCAGGGTGAGGACAACTGCATTTCCTCATCATGAAACCATATGCTATCAAGTGTATTAATACTGTCTTTGTTGGTTTCAGGAATTTTATTCAATGATGTCTATGCAGCATCCAAGTTTGCAGTGGAAGGGTTTTGTGAAAGTCTTGCAATACAAGCCTTGCGGTTTAATCTGAAGTAAGATATGGATTCCCTAACATCACTGTCTATGTAAGACACGCGATCTCTTTAGGTGTTTGTGCCAATTCCTTTCGCATGGACATTCCTGTGAGATTCCAAATATACCCTTAAAGCTGTGATCCAAATAAAGTAAATACCTGTAATCCATGCTTATACATACCTGAAACATCTGTCCAGTGGTGTTGCACAACCAACTTGAGAAATGGTAACATTTGCAAAATGTCAGGTCTTAAAGTTACCACAGCACACTCTTTTTAAATATTTTTTTTAATAATCAGCAAGTGAATATAAAAAAACAAATCTTTTGTGGATGTTTTAGAACAGTTATTTTTGGTGCTTTAATTAATCATACTGTTCATCAGTTTAGTGCTTCAAGTAAAATTACTGAAGTTTTCATTGGACTTTTTTCCTCTACCATCCTCAGCATCAGCCTGATCGAGCCAGGTCCAGTGATAACTGAGTTTGAACGTAAGGTATATGACGAGGGCATGAAGACTGACCTCAGCAAAGCTGACAAAGTGACTGCCGACATGTTCACAAACATTTACCTGAAGAACTACAATCAAATCTTTGAGACTCTTGGGCAGACTGCTGTGGATGTAGCAGAGGTATGTTGTTGTTCAATTGCAGATATGCTTTATCTCACCATGCCCTATCGATATCTTGCAACCAAGAAAATGTGAAGAATCTGTATCTGGGGTTCCTGTTTTCACTGTCTGTTTCTTCCTAGCACACCCATAAAATCATCACCATGGAAAATCCGCCTTTTCGCCATCAGACAAATACTCTCTACACTCCGATGACCACACTGAAGTATGCTGACCCGAATGGTGACCTTCCAATTGACACATTTTACAAAATGGTCTTTGAACATGACAAGGTCTTTAATGCTAGCCTGAATTTCCTCAAGCTGCTCCGCTGGAGAAGTCGCAAAAGCTTTACCTTGGAAAAGGAGAAGAGCAAATGAGGGATTTTTTTCATGTGACATGGATGTAATTTTGCATAGTTTACATAACCAATCCTCTGTTAGACTTGTGGAGCTAATTGCTCAAACAAATAAACTGATATTCCTCACTGGCGTTGACAGTTATTTTAACAGATTTTTTAAATATGTATCTGTAAACTTCCGCTTCGGGTTAAACAAGCGATCATAGCTGTCCCAATTTATTTAACCTCATAACATTTGTGTTCACTGATAGCATGAATGATAACATGTAGTTATGAGTGAGCACCGAGGTAGGCAATGACACATCCAGGCAGCAGATGAGGCAATTCATATAATTCATATGCAGGATGTTTTTTAAACCATAGTAAAACGTTGAATCCAAAATTCTTTATCTACCTTTCATTACCTTGCTTCACAGATCTGTCTCTGACATACTGTGCAAGTAACATGAGATTATGTGAGGTATTTACACATTCCCTAATCTGGGATTCAGCTGTTTTGCTTTTATCCTCCCAGCATGGATACAGCAATTGAACAAGTGAGACAGGCCTCAACAATGATAATGGTAAATCCATTTTATCGTTATTGTTTTCTGCTTTTAGATCTCACGTTTTTATGAATTATCTTTGTCTTGTGCGTAAAATGTGCTACACAAATAAATTGGCCTTTGTCATGAGGTAAATTCTTAAGTTTATTAAATTGATTTTTCTTAATATTTAAGGCGATTATTCATATGATAAACATTCAATATTCTGAATAAACGCTAAGTGGCGGTAAACAGCAGTTCATATACCTGAAATACTTCCTGGTGACGCACAATTTCCGGTTCTTTTCTTGACGTAGTGTCCGGACAAATTTAAGCTAATGTTGCCCAGAATACACAATGTGCCATTCATTGCAATAAGCTTCATGCTCTTTATATTTTGTTTTGTTGATGCAAAGAAAAGCAATTTATGGAAGTGTGATAAGTTTAATGCTGCGTGATGCCAACTATTCAGTTGCAAATGTAAGGGAGTCTTCATTATTAGCTTAGCTTTAGCCATGCTTTTAGCGTCCGCTTTCCCTTGTCTTCAACTGTACGGTTTGCTTTCTACAGGGACCACAGCTGGTAGCTAGCTTGGTAGCTTTCTGGTAAAATATATTTTTAATGTGATTTTTAAAAAACTGTTTTGTTCTTATTTTCTTTAATTTTTGTTACAACTTGAATTTAGCATCAAATTCTGTGTGAGTGCGGCGATTGACAAAAAATGGAACATTGTTTCATTTAACACGCCTAGACAGCGATTAGCTTGTTTAGTCAGGTAACTTTGAGGAAACGTCTCATCGCCTCATGACATAGTTTCATGTAGACGTTCTTTCGATCTGGATGGTATACTTTGTCCAAAGGAACTCAAGCAGGCTCTTTCTGGTAAACTCTTTTTTTATATTATAAAGAAACAGAGTTAGCTTGTGTTATTTACTTTATTATTTTTTAGGTGATTGTTGTTTTTTTTAGTTTTTTTGTGCCACGATGGCTTCCTCCTCTGGAAACGACGATGACCTTACCATTCCGAGAGCAGCAATCAACAAGATGATTAAAGAAACTCTCCCCAATGTACGAGTTGCCAACGACGCCAGGGAGCTTGTTGTCAATTGCTGCACAGAGTTTATTCATCTAATTTCCTCCGAAGCCAATGAAATATGCAACAAATCCGACAAGAAGACCATATCTCCCGAACATGTAATCAACGGTGAGCCCAGTGTTTGTTGTCAGGGATTGATTTTTTTGCGAGTGTGTTTGTCAAGATGTTCAACCTCTGAAAGTAATTGTTACACTTTCACATCTTGTTTGGCGTCACAGCGCTCGAGAGCCTTGGTTTCGGGTCATACATAACGGAAGTGAAAGACGTACTACAAGAGTGTAAAACTGTTGCATTGAAAAGGAGGAAGGCCAGTTCTCGGCTGGAAAACCTGGGCATCCCAGAAGAGGAGCTCCTCAGACAACAACAGGAATTATTTGCCAAGGTGTTATTCATAGCACAACTTCACTGGAAAACTCTGTATGCACCATTCCTTGTGAATTAGACTTTGCAGGTTGACATGCTGTTACTGTGGTATAGATTTTTGGCAGCCTACACATACGTGTGTCTATATATGTATCATGGGTCTGAAAAGGTTTAATTAAGAAGCTCTTATGTCTAGCACCAATTGATGTTGATGTTTGTCATCCCATTTTTTGCTTTAGTGATATCTAGGCTCTGGTTAAAAATTCAGGAATGGTTTTTTTCCCCTTTGTTTTCCCTCATACGTGCCGCCCTGTGTCTCTGAACTGCGTTTCTACAGGCCCGGCAGCAGCAGGCAGAGCTAGCCCAGCAGGAGTGGTTGCAGATGCAGCAGGCTGCCCAGCAGGCCCAGATGGCAGCTGCCTCTGCCAGCGGAGCCCAACAGGCTGGCTCCTCTCAGGATGAAGATGAGGAGGACGACATGTGATCCCTCGATACTTTTTAACTCGTCCGAGTTCTTCATTGGGACAGAACCTGCACACAAACCTCCCAGCGCTGTCATTGGCAGAGGCGTGAGATGTGTTTAAATACTGACTGTGAAAATACACACTTGGAATGAACAGTGAATTGAACAGTGGAAGGGGATTTCAACATAACCCCATATTCAGATACCAGAACCTGAAAATGATTTGGCTTGAAAGGCTGTTGATGAAGTTTTTTTTGATGAATCTCACTACCCCCCTCTTTTTTTTTTTTCTTTTTCAATTGCCTCTCTTGAATAACAACTTGATATTCTGTAGTAAATTGTAGATTTCTGGATGTGTCATGAACGTACTGAGCAGATGTTGCCTGACACATGGTTGTGGATTTTGTTGATAGCGAGTTACGGTCCTTCAGGTGCTGTACCAGGTGACTTGTTTGACATCTCTTGTGCTAAGTCTCATTCAGTGCTTTAGGAAAACCGTTCTTGAATAATTCTAGAGCATCTGATTCCTTCTCATTTGATGTTTGATGGTCATTCTTACTGTAAGGAATTTCTTTTCCCACTCCTTGGAATATTTGTTAAATGGAGGGTTATTTGAGGGGCTATCGATATATTGAATTTGCTATTTTCCATAGAGAAATAAATGGACAATTGGTTCAATGTTAGCTTATTTGGATTTTTTTTTTTTTTTTTTTTTACAACCTCCATTATTTTTAATATTTAATTTCTTTTTTTTTTTTTTTTTTTTTTTTTTTTTTTTTTTTTTTTCTAGAACCACCTACAGTATTAGTAATTAGCTACACCTTTGACCATCTGTATATTTTTGTTAGATAGAACCAAAGATCGAGGACAGGCAATGGTCCAGAGTTTGTTTTTAAAGGTGTAGGTGCTACTGTGATTTTCACTGCTGACACCAGATAAGTGTAAACAGTTATGGATTAATTACCCATAATGTTGATATCTAAAGCTGAATTAGTTGTTTCCCTTCTTGAGTGCAGCATCAAAACATTTGCAACAACTCTTGTCAATCCTTGGTGTAAAAACAAGTAGCCTAGTTATGATACACATTCACTTGCTTATACTACAAACCGTATTCTTTAAGCAATAAAGGAATCCTTTTTACAGACGACTGTTCTGTGTTCTATTTCCTTCACTAAGGCGTTTTGACACTTGCACTGATTGATGCGGACCAGAGTTTGTGTCCTCATACCAAGGTGTGAAAGTTTAGCTGTGATCTCTTTTTGCCCATGAAACAACTTAGCTCCCTGTTGTGATTCACTTACAGCGTGAAAGCAAACAGACTAACCAACAAACTAAAGAGAGGAGATGTGTGCAACCACAGCAGTACGTTGTGCTCACTTGCTCTCTGCCTTCTTCTGTACGTTAGTATTTGTCTCATGTTTTGGGCAAAATGCTGCATGGTTTTCTGCCTTATTGCTCATACTGGGTGGTCAGCCCCGGTCTCAGTGACAGGTAAGAAGAGCAGTATCAGCACCCTCAGCTTCAGCAGACATGCACAAGGTACAAAAAGCTACCTTAAAACATCATGCTGATTAATGCATTGCCCTGGAAGATTTGGGTTTTTGACCCTGGCTTTTCGACTTGTTGTGATTACAGAATTATCCTTTTTCTCGATTGAGCCCACGCTGCCCTTTCTGCAGTAATATGTCTCAAATACTGACCACCGTGCACTTTTCTGCTGTATGGTAACGCATCATAAACACCTGAGGAAGTTAATGTAACTTCTGGACAAGGTTAGCGAATGGTTTTGTTTCTCGGTGAAGTTTTACCTGGCATTTATGAGCTGCATTTCATGTAAAAATAATACAAAAGTTTGATTAATGCTTTTCTAATTTGTTTTCCCCTACAATTATTGATTTAATGAAAATGTATTTAAGTTATTTTGCCTGACATACTCTAAATCAGGGGTTTCCAACTTGAGTACTTGAAGGCTGCAGTCCTGCAGGTTTTAGAAGTGGCCCTGCTTGAACAAACCTGATTCTGATGAAATAGTTCCGTTCAAAAGCCCTGCACAAGCCTGACTCTGGCATTCTGACGTGAATCAGGAATGTTGAGGCAGAGAAAACCTCTTAAACCTGCAGGACAGGAGCCCTGGAGGACTGACTTTGGAAACCCCAGCCCTAAATTGTCCAACATTGTATTAATTGTTTCTGAAATATGTGTAAAGACTAAAAAGTGAAAGAGATGTAATTAAAAAAAACTTAATTGGACTATTGAGAAGGAACATCATGTATTCTGTTGATGCATTGTCTGTAAGTCACAATAAACTAGTAATGTAGGAATTGGAGGGTTTTAAACATACCTTTACTGTCCCAACAGATACCCTTGGAATCAATAAAGTTGGTCTAATCTTAAATTTTTCTGATCAGGGGTGGTCAATGTTAATTCACATTACTCACCTCTTGAGTAAATGCCTCTGGCACTGTGGAGAATACACCATTCTATTCTACACTGCCTTTCTCATCAGGATCAATAACATGTAGATCCTTTTTGACCTTACCATGATATCCCTTTTGGTTCTCAGACAAAAGATCGAGATCCAGGTACGGAGAATCTCATCATACACGTTTTCAGATAAATTAATGAATTATCATAAAGTTTTGACGAACGTGTAGAATGTTCCATCACAGAAGCTTCTTGTCATAGATAGAAATTCCAGGATGCCATTAGAAATAAGGCAAGTTTATTTGTATAGCACATTTAGTGTACAAGACAAAAATACTTTATAAAGAATTTAACAGCAGAAAACAAAGAAAGGAATATCAAAACAGTTAGAATAAATTAAAAGTGAAGGGTGCAGATAAAATACATTCAGTTTCCATATGCACAGTTATGCACAGAACTGTTTTTAGCCTGGATTTAAACATTGTCAGAGTTAAGCCTGTCTCAGCTCTTCAGGAAGACTGTTACAGATTATAACATGTCCAAAATGTATTTTGGCAGTTAACCATAGAGACCTGAGCACTGGATGGATGGGGTCGTATTTCCTTGTTCTGGTCAGAACTCTAGCAGCAGCATTTTGAATGATCTCCAGCTGTCTTACAGGTTGTTTAGAGTACTCAATATGCAGGTATACATTAGTTTAACCTGCTGGAGACGAATGCATGGATTAGTCTTTCTTGGTCTGGTTTAGATAATATTTCTCGTATTCTGGCATTGTTTTTGAGATGGTAAAAGGCTGCTGATGTTATTGATTTAATGTGGCTGTTAAAGTTCAGGTCTGAGTCCAGTATTAACCCAACATTTATTTAAACCTGCAGTCTAATTCAGGGCCGTTCGAAAATCCCTGTTCATGGCTAATTAAAGTCAACGATGAGTTATTTTGTATTTGTGTTGAAAGTGCTCACCCATACATGTGACTTTAAATTCAGTCTCGACTGGTATTTTAATACATTATAATGATTTCAAAGCAAAGCAGTTCCACCTATATTTGAAATGTTTTACTACTAGTAGTATTTGGAAATATGTTTGTTTGTTGCTTATCACAAGTAAACATCCATCCATCCATCCATCCATTATCCTCCGCTTATCCGGGGTCGGGTCGCGGGGGCAGCAGCCGGAGCAGGGAAATCCAGACTTCCCTCTCCCCGGCCACTTCCGCCAGCTCCTCCGGGGGGATCCCGAGGCGTTCCCAGGCCAGCCGGGACACATAGTCCCTCCAGCGGGTCCTGGGTCTTCCTCTGGGCCTTCTTCCGGTGGGACGAGCCCGGAACACCTCCCCAGGGAGGCGACCGGTCTGTCGTGATGAAGAGAGAGCTGAGCCAAAAAGCGAAGCTCTCAATTTATCGGTCGATCTACGTTCCCACCCTCGTCTATGGTCACGAGCTTTGGGTAGTGACCGAAAGAACGAGATCGCGGATACAAGCGGCCGAAATGAGTTTCCTCCGCAGGGTGGCTTGGCTCTCCCTTAGAGATAGGGTGAGAAGCTCGGCCATCCGGGAGGGGCTCGGAGTAGAGCCGCTGCTCCTCCACGTGGAGAGGAGCCAGTTGAGGTGGCTCGGGCATCTATTCAGGATGCCTCCTGGTCACAAGTAAACATTTACACCCAAATTTGTCTCTCGATTTTGGACGGTTCCACATTTATGTTCTTCATGCTCTGAGCTAATATCCTTGTTTGAATGTTATTGATTTTATTGCAGGATTAAAGAAAAAAACATTTAGTGGCTATAGATACAGCAAACATATCTCAAAGAATCATCAAAATGCATCCCTTATTCGTAAAACATGGAAGAGCTTATTGCTCCCGCATACATAGCAACTGAATAGGGCAACTGGTATCTGTTGATAAATTAACCACTAATTTAGGATAGGTGATTAATCAGACATCATTTCTCTAACAGTACCGTCAGTAACTTTGAAATCCATAAATGTACAGAAATAGATGTGATCCCCTATGGAGCTAAACAGTGATGGCTTACATAAAAATTGCCATGTCACATCAAACCATCATGTTGTGATCTCTTTTAACCTTAACCTTCTATCATGAAGTACAGTTAAAAGGTGATGCAGCGCAGATAAAGATATGACGTGTAAAGGAGCCTTCAGTTTTGCCACCCCCCCCATGCCAAAACAGTGATAGTTTGCGTCGTAGCTGAAAACTTCTCCCATCAAAATAAAAGCTGCAGCGTGAAATGAGAGTACTGTATCTCATTTCACGTGTTTCAAGTATGTCACAGTTTCTATTTAGGTAAGTATGGTAAGTAAGGTAAGTATCTGACATTGCTTTTTTTCAACAAAAAATGTTTATTTTTTAATGACAATGTTTAATTTTTTTAGTTTATTCCCTCAGTGTTTGATTTTTCAATGGCAAATATATTTTTCAATTTCAGTATAAGCTGTCACAATAAGCTCTATTAGCTATTAATTGAAAATGGATTAAATATTGCTTTACAGATGACTTAACATAACATATGGACATACAGAAAAAGAATGAAAATCAGCAACAGCATAGTGCTCAGAGTCCAATTTCATGGAGTATTGACATTATATATAATGTGTTCAGCAGAGCTGCCGACAGAGGCCAGTGTTGCCTCTTTCAAACAGATGTGACCTCAGGTCTGGCTTGTACTGTATATTAGATGCATTTTCTTGGGTTCACAATAATACAAAGTATTTTATTGTAAAATAAAGGGCCGGCACAGCCTTTGTTTTTAGCTGTGCAAGCCTTGGGAGCCACTTAGCTGGTATTTGGTTAAAACCTGTTCATTTAGACTGTTTGTGGGATAAAATTTAAAGTTAAATAAATAAACCTAAATGCTCCCCAACAAAAACACGTAAAAACCCTGGTGATCACAACAAGCAAATTAAACTCCGCTTCCACCAGTCTCTTCAATGTTAAAACAGGGCATACCTCGACTTTAAAACAATTTAGAGGGCTGAGCACATTCGATTTCCTGGTTCTTAACCAGTCAGACAACAATCTTAATCAAAACAAAACAGAATAGAAACAGTACTGAACTAAGAGGACAAACTGTTAGAACAGCTCCGTAGATCATAGCTAAATTAACATGATCCGCTTTACCTCCAGATGATAGAAACCTGTAAATATGTGTTTTTTATTCATTACTCCTTCGAAAAGGACCTGTTGTAAAAGTTTCTTACTATTTTTGCTTTTTTCATCCACACTAAGGTTGACATCCGTAGCCATGGTCGTCCAGCTGGCTGCTTTTTACAAAATGTATTTCTGTGAAAAAACGTTACATGTATCACATAAATCAAAACCTGACAGGGGGACAGGACAAAAAGAGTGCAAAAAGATAGAACCCCCCCCAAATGGAGAAAGATCCTTGAAGAACAGAGAGAGAGAGAGAGAGAGAGAAAAACAACAAAACAGCTGCTAGATCTGTAGAATACAGAGTAAGGGCAATCCAAGTGGAGAAACCAACGGGGAATACCTCAAAGCAGCCAGAGGGAAAGCAAAAATAACAACAAAAAACAAGCAAGAAAAAACAAAGGCAGCCAAAAGACTAGTAGCAAGGGCATACAAGCCAGCCCCCATAACCTGAGACACCACTAGGGTCCCAAACCTGCTGGCCTCAAGTGGTGGATCAGCAGCCCACTGCCACCAATCAATGATGGAGCTAATAGCTGGGGACCAGACAGAGTGAAATTCAGCTAGTTTATTTTTGGAAGAGGAAGACATTATTTCCATGTTAATGTGATCTAAAAGAAAGGACAAGTCCCATCTTGGAAGACACTCCTCACAAAGGAGCCACATTTTTTTTTTTACTTCGGAGGCACTTGCCAATAAATGACAATTTCCAACAGTGACAAAGTCATGTTGACACTTAGATAAGACTCATTTCCTCCAATGATTTCAGAACATCCTACATCTGGCTTAAATACTTTTAGTACTGCCCATCTCTGCTACACTGTGTGACTGAGAATGTGCATCCAGTTGAGTGCACAATACAAATGCTCAGCAAGCTTGTGTCTGTAGATACCCCCAGTGAGTAAGCCATCAGTGTTGTGTTTCCTAACAAGATCCTTGTATGTGCCTTGCAAGTTAACCTTAGCAAAACGTGTTGGAATTAAAAACATATAAATACAAAAAGAAATGAAAAGAGAAAAAAAGGGAAAAAAACACAGTGTACATGACTAAAGGTGTAGGAAAGATATACTGTAGCTTAGTTCAAACCTAAATAAAACATCACCCGCTACAACAATGCTCTGTGCTATGAGACTGTGGCAGTAGGGTTTTGGAGGCAGTGGTATGACTATATTAACAGTTCACCTTTGAACGTAGTTACTCTAAATGCTGAGTTTGTTTTCATTTAAGTTTTCTCTGCCCATTTCTTCATCTGCAGTTCATTTGCTCATTTGGTCCTCGGTTTTATACTACTCCATTTCCACTTGATCCCTGCCAGATTGTGTTATATTATTCAGTGCCAGGCTTTCCCGCATTTCCCTGTTCTGCCTTCGTGTTCTGACCTTACTTTTGCCGCTCTCGGACTTCGGATTCCTTTTTTATTTATTTATTTATTTATTTTTTTACCCTATGTCGTGTTTAGCATTATGGCAACAGAATTGTAATATGAGTGCCGTGCTCTGCCCGATACTTTTGCTTTGCCAAGGGAGGCCTGTCAGGCTCTGAAGCCTCCCTTGATCATCAAATACTGCTTTATTATTTATTTAAGATTTAATTTTGTTACAGAAGTAAGATGGGTAATCCCCAACATGACCGGGGGACAGGAAAAGAGAAAAAAATAGAGAGAAAAAAAGGAAAAAAATATTAAATTAGAAAAGGATGAGAGAATAGAGAAAAGGAAGGAAAGGAAACAGGAAGAGAGAAAAAAAAAGAAAGACAACAAAACCATCCATTCAGCTGCTGTGTCT